CTTTAAGATATACAGTTTTAGATATTAGGTATCATTTGATTTATTATTATACTTTGGTATTGTTATTATTTTAAATTAAATTTTCACATCTTTATTCACATTTTTTTATTTTAATGTTTAAGCTGCTTAATTTAGGGTCACAAGAAGTTTATCTAAAGCTAGTGGTCCACTATGTCGGTGTGGAGGCTTAACGCGGTACCTTGCGCCAAAATTATTACTTGCATTAGAAATGCCCGTAGTACTTCCAGACCGACCTAGAGAACAAACCCTTGAGGTTTGAATTTTCGTTCATCTTTAATTTCTGGCTAAAAGAATCTTTTAATTTTTTACTTAAAATAAATTAACTGATTATTACCAAATGTTAGAAATTTTTTTAAAACTTTTATTATGATATTTACAACTGTATTAGTATGAATACATCAAGTAAATGTGTACAGAGAAATATTATCACATGAAACACGCTTGTTGAGAAACTACCCACTGGTAGCACTCTTAATGTTAGAACTAAACAATAAACCATATCAGGTTGTTCTAGCTCGCAAAGTAGAAAATAAATATGGTTATAAATAAAAATTATTATTGAGCTTAGGATAAATTTCGCTATGTAGAGGTTTCATTTTTATCAATGGTATCTGCAAAGGTTGTTTGTTTCTAAACATTAACTTTTCTTGTTTTAATTCCGTTATTTTCTTGTTGCGTCTATTTGCAAAAATGATAACTCAAAATTCTAAAAATTTCTCCTAAAAAAATCTAATGATATATTTATTTATATTATATATATATTTGGGCAGATAGATCGATACATACCATTGATAAAGTTTTTGTCATGGTGGTTTTTTATCTTTGTGTTTTGTAGTGGAAATTAACTTTTTAGCAAATATTTTCTTTAGTCTTATAAAAAAAAATCTCCAAAATAGTATTAGAAAAAAAATTGAGTTACCTCTGAGTATTAGTAAAATGTTTTTAGAAAGAATAAAAGTAAAATAAAATAATTTACTTTATTAACGTTTAAACGGTTTACGACAGTCTTGATCAGGGGTCTCCAAATTTTTGACCCGCGGGACCACATTGAGACCTTTAAGTCCCGTGGGTCATGGAATGTTGTTAAAAAAAGTTTGATCTATAACTTCAGTTGTAATATGAGCTTTATAAGAGAAACGACTCAAGCAATAAATGTTGTATTAACCTCGTGTCTGAATGATTTACTAAATTTTATATTTTAAAATTTTATCATATAATCAAAGAAGCTTTCGCGGGCCGGAATGGAAGTAGTAGCGGACCTGTAGTAGTTAAGAGACTCCTGGTCTAGACATGTGGCCTCTGTGGCGTAAATAAGGCCTCCAAACATTTTTGTGCAATATTTATTAATCTAGTGTTAGAATTAATTAATAATTAACTATCTAAGTAATTAAGAAATTAATATAATTGAGTTGAATGTATGTATGTGGAATACATTAGCACTACCTAATCATACTATTGCCTCTAATGAAAAAAAGGTTCCCCACCTGTGGCCTAGACTGCCCCAGCTTGTGTCATCTGCGTGAGAGAAGGAGATACTAGTACCAAAGCCAAGCTAATTGCTGACAATCAAATTCCCGGGCATTCATCCGGCAATATCAGGAAGTCATAAGAGGGAATGAATAGGACCTCCTATAATAAGACTTAACTTCGGCGTAAATGCCTAAAAGGAATGAACTAGATAAGAGCATTTTATCCACGAAAGAGATCATATCTGAAATGTGATAATTAACTCAGATACAAACTCCTGGGAGTGGAATGTAGAGCAGGCAGTGGAAATATACGAGGCACGAATATTGGTTCATCTGTCGCAAAAAAAATCAATAATTTGTGATGAAGGATCTTTGCGATATACCTTTGGTCATGATAGGGGTCAGAGATGTATCGATGTTGCTTACGAGGTAGATTATTGATTAGAATCGAGTTTCGACTACAAACAATATTTTTGGGCAGATAGTAGAATCGGACTGGTGGAGGTGCGATGTGCCCCTGAGTCATGAACACATGTCATTACGTCTTGAACGACTAATCTCAAACCATCCTTAATTGGATACAGTGCAGCCCAACTACTCAATGAAGTATGTTTAATCTACTCAGAGGGCACGGGCTTTAACCTCCATTTTGGAGGGCGGGGTGGCCGAATAGGCAAAGGCGTGTGCACAGCACCGCTAGTTGCCTGGCAACCGGATAACAGAGATTTGGGATGATATAAAAAGTACGAGTTCGCTTCCCGGTGCCGGAGGGGATTTTAAATTCCCCGCCCTCACCCCCCGGCCCGGGAAAATCCCGTATAGCCTAAAAGGCGAGGTAGGGAAGAACAAAAAAAAAAAAAGTAGAATCGGACTATTCCAACGGCATCGATCAGAGTTCATTTAGCAGAAGTGATTGCAGTACCTTCAAATACGGAACTCGGAGAGAATAGTCGTTAAGGAACGGTGAAATAAATGGAGCAAACAACTCTGATTTACATGGTTCCGGGGATCACGAGTGTCATTCGCATTGTTGCCAAAAACATTCTCAATGCTGAAAAATAAAGGCTCGACCGGTCGCATGGTAGACATTGCCTTTAGCTGCGCTAAACAAAGACTTCTAAAAGGTCCTGTGGTCATTAAAAATATATAGATGTGCCAGAAACGCGCTGCGCATCACCATTAGGCTGACAGGCTACCGAAAGCGCAGCTGAGAGAAGCTGAGTCAACCAAAGGTTTTTAAAAATGCGGAGGTGAAGGCAGTTGAGTGGCGTTGCAAGGGGCAGCTCCTCTCAGCTTTGGCTCTACCAAGGTTCAGTTTTAAAGCTCACTCTGCTTCAATTAATTAATGTTTTTTTAAGGTTAAAGCAAATAAACGTCCATTTTTCTTTAGTTTGTTTTAACCACACCTATTACATCTAACGTTTCGGGACAAATTTCCCATCCTCAGAGAATCCTTTATGTTTACTTGACTTTGTAATGAGGCACCGATTGTCAAAAATTACAATAATTGTCATATCTATTTAAATATAATACTTTTTGGTGTTACCCATTCATTTTCTGTCCATCATCACACCAACCAACATCAAGATACCTCCAGTTCCATTACTGCACTTTCAGTGTTGGTTCAGTGTGGAATGTGCAATGGATGTGGAAGAATTCTTAATAGAATGTGTAAGCAAAAATATTTGATTTTATACCCAAATATTTTTTTTATTATTTTTTTTTTATCCGTTTATTGAGAAATAATACATTTTGCCACACTTAATACCCAAATATTAGGTTTTTCTTCTCAACTCCGACCTGATCAACTTTGCTATTTTTTTAAAAATGTTATATATGCTATGTATATTTTTTAAAAATGTTATACGGAAGACCAGAAGGATACCGATGCAAGCCAAGGTGCGAACTGAGCTGAGCTCCACTACGAAATCTGTTGCAGACCTCTTGCTACGCTTAGCTCAGTTCCGCTGCGCTTTCGGTGGCCGGTCAGCCTTAGTACAAGACTAAAACTAAGGTATATCGATATGAGCTTCACTCATAGATGTGAAAGTACTGGAATAATTTTATTGTTGATGAGCCTTTGAAGAATCGCTGGCATATTTCGTAAGGGTTGACAATCAGACAAATTTCAATCTTGAAACATCAACATGTTCAGCCAACCACTATGAAAGGTACAACTTATTGATATTGAAACAATATACTCCATAATCCGGAAAACAACTTTTCAGAACATTAAAGATGACCATGATTTGAGAGGCGGTGATTACGTGGTCCTGCTTTCTGAAGATTCGTTTTCGATATGTGTTCTGGGAGTGTTAAAGAGGACCACTTCCATGCCCCTTTTTACATAGACTATATATCTAACGTGATGGAGAGATTTTCATGAGACAATACTAGCCTAAGGAGAGATAGTGCTTCTCGACCTTCTCTGAAATAAAGTGACTCAGCAAGTTTATGTAAGGGGAACCTGTATATGGTTTCTGAAAATCTATTGCTAGGGATAGTTAAAAGCCAATGCCAATGGGAGTAAGAAATCAAAAAGGCTTCGTTTGAGAAATGGAACCGACGATGGGTGACGACTATGTAAAGGAGGTAATTTCAGCTACACTTATTTTATTTTTATTTTTTCCCCAAGGTACATAACAATAGCTTGGAAATAGACCTCCAATACTCCACTTGAAATGTCAAGCAAACTTTTGAGCATTTAGTCACGTCCTGCTCTCTATTAAAGGAATTAAAGGAGACGCTTTGCGAGTGATCAAAACTTTCTCTAGTCCCAGGAATTTATTTAACGCTGGGGAATGGCAATGGATTCCGTTCGCTACACTTTAGAGTCCGAAGGCGAATAAGAGGATCAACGCTTGAAATATCGTCGGAAGATGGAGGGCACCTTTGTGCAAATCCATAGGCGCCGAGAGTTAGGAAATATTGAAAGTGGTCGAGGGTTATTGTAACATGATAACAGTGTTCAATCCATGTGTTGGAGGAAGTTAATATAACGCCATACTAAATGAATAGCTTTGCAATCAGATTATACAAGATGGTTCTGAAGGCTTTAAAGTTAGAAGAGATTTAAACTAGGATATGCATACTCACTCATGTTCAACTTGGCTCACTAGATAAAATGATAAGAAAGTCATCTAAAAATCAAGAAGGAAATGAAGCGTATCTCTTCTTTTTTTCTCGCCCATCAAGTAATGGAAATAAAAAATGAGAGGAAGGGAGATTTGAATGGGTTCCTACAGATTATTAGTATATAGATAAATTGGTATCTTCTTATATATTTGAATAAGAATAGCTCCTTGGTATCTCTCAAGATAGGAGTGGATGTTAAGGTTATTGCTGATGTTTAATTCATTCAATTAGTGACAAATAATTTATATCAGTGAAGGATGTTAGTTAAGTTCAGTTGTCCTCACTACATCTAAAAAACTCAGAGTTAATTAATTAAATTAAAATAGGGAATGACGTATGAGTTGAGTTAATGGTTACTTTAAGAAAATATCCATAATGTCTTCAAGTGTTTTATTAAATTCAGTCTGTGCTGACTGTGGATCATTAGGTAAATTTTGTGTTGTTTTTTTTTCGTTTATTTTAATCAAGTAGTGTAGTTTTTACACCTATGGTACATAATTAACTATATTCTCTTCACAGATCCACCTTGGGCTCTTGTAAATAGAGGCTTATTGATCTGTGATGAATGTTGTAGTATTCATAGGAGTTTAGGTAGGCATATATCTCAAGTTAGGTCACTAAAGAAAGTCCATTGGAATATAACACAATTACAGGTAAGAAAATTTTCTGTATTACTATTTTGTAGGATTTAAAATGCATTACAAGTTTATTATATTCTCTTTTTTTCTAGATGATTCAGACTCTTAATAGTAGTGGAGTCAATAGTATTTGGGAGCACACTCTGCCTGAAATGAAGACTAAGAAAAAGCCTACACCAAAGGATCCTGTGCAGTGAGTTAATTATAAGTTTCCTGCTTAGTAATAATTGTATACATTTTTCCATAACAAATCTTGAAGTGAATATGAATCAATGTTCTTCTGAATGTTATTTTGTTGTTTAATTTGTTAAAAGTGCTGGAACATGTCTTAATACAATTCTTTACTTTGAATAGACTTCACCACAGGTGAATCTATGGGAGGGAGGAGAGGGGGCTTTTGGGCTGAAGTCCCCCAAAATGGTAAAATGTAAACATGTTTCATTGTAAAAAAAATTAAAAAAATTATCTCTTAAAGTATTATTGCTCATGTAATCTCATTTAATATGACTTCAAGAATCACTTAAACACCATTTCATATATGTAGCTAGTATCTTTCTTTTTTTTTTTTTCCAAAATAGTTATCGTTATATATATGAAAAAAAAAAATTTTGGGCTGAAGCTCCCTCCAAAATTAAACCCTGGATCCATTAGTGGGAAGAATAAATTTCATTTAATCACCTCATGATCAGAGCAGAGCCGTAATAAACAAAACGTGGGAAGATATTTTCACGTAACTTAAACAATATAAAATTCCCACCACTCTTCTGCCTGTAATGTCAAAATCAGTGCCGGCTTTAGGGTGGAGGAAATGGGGCAATAGCCCCAAGACACCGACCTGCAGAGGGGACCGATGGGAACACCGGCCGATCTCCCGGGAAGCTCACCACTTGTAAGAAATAAAAAAACGTATTAAAATAATTAGTTTTAGTTTACCAATATAGCAACTGTATTAGAATGGAATACAATTCAAATATTACATAAAACTTTTTGAGCTACACCATTTTCACACAAACACATACCATTTTGTGGGACTTGGTTATTTGGACTCAGGAGACCTTAAAACGTATATTTCCACAGAAAACTCGTATTTGAAAATGTTCAAGATCACAATACTTTCTCGTACAATGTATTACATATATAGGTAAACGAAAGTAAAAATTAGTATAATTTTAATGTACATAAGCTAACTGTCACTTTTGACTTACTTGAATAGCATATCTGCAATAATTTTATTGCTCATTTGTTTTTGAAATGTGGTTTCAGATTTATAATTTTTCTCAGACAGTTAAATAAAGGATTGAGCATGTTCCTAAACTCAGCGCAAATTTTCTTGATGGAATCCATTTTGTTGGATAGCAATTTATGCTATTTTTAGGAATAACCAGCTGGATTCCAGTGGAATGTCAACATTTCTGGAGGGTTATCAAACACATGAAAAATAATTAAATATGCAAGGAAATAACTACCCATTGATTAGTTGAATTTTAAAACAGAAATAAAAAAAGATAAAAAGTAAACTGATTATAAATTTGCCAAGTAAATTGAGAAATAACAACACCGCAGTTAGATCTAATGGATTCAGTAACTCCAAAAGCTGATGGAACTGCTGACCCATCAGTGATTCAATCGGAATAAAGAAACGTAGTAGAATTCCATATATAGTTTCCATCGATAAGTTTAAGAACTGTTTGATGGAATTTCAATATCATTGATTAGGTCAGCACTGAGTTTAGAAATATGCCCAATATAAGTAGTACTGTAATTAAAGTAAAACTAATTTAAATGACTAAAAATAGAGATTGTTTGTATTTTTTTTTTTAAATTGTATAGTTGTATTGTGACATTATTAGATATTATCCATTACCACATAATCATATATTGTTAATTTAAATTTTATAATATATTGCATTAGCTACCTACTCTCCCTATTTCTTATAGGAAAGCTGGCCAAATTATTCTAGATTTATTTTATTGATAAACATAAGTTAGTGGATGATACTATTTTCAGCCCCACAAAAGCGGAGTTCATCCGAGCAAAGCACAAAGAGTTGCAGTTTATCTTTCGCAGTGGTGATAGTGAGGAAGAACTGAACCTTCAACTCCATTCCATTGTGAAGACACCTAAAATCCTTATGACATTGAAGCTGTTAGCTCAGGGGGCAGATCCTAACTTCCTTCACCCAGTCAGTTGGTTTGTTTACTCTTTTGTGGTGTGTTGCTTCTGATCAATTGTCCACCTTTTAAGAACAAATTTGAATTTTAATGTAATTTTATAAAGAGTAACAATTTTTCTCGAAACTTTTTTTTTTTTACATTGACATCTGATGATTCCTCTTTAAACTTCATAAATTATGAAGTAAAAATTTTCAAGATATATCAAGTGCTATTGTGTTGGTAAAGAAAGATTAAAAATAATAATAACAATAATAATAATTGAGATTCAAAAGGCCTCAAAATTTAACTTTGCTTTTCATTTTCATAAGTTTATGTATAAATAATTGAGAAATTCCATTTTCAATTGTTAAGTCTTTATTGATTGTTATCTTACCTAATTTGATTAAAAGTTATTAAATATATGTCCACCATTGATCATTAGAAAACATGTACTCATATAAATTCAACTAATATCTGTTAATTGTAGGAAAAGGGAACAAGGCCTATCCATGTTGCTGCTAAGGCTGGCCAGCTGAACCAGGTGGAGCTGTTAGTTGTCTACGGAGCAGATCCGTCTGCCAGGGACGCCAATGGGAATTCCCCACCTCATGCTGCCAGGTAGACATTTTTGTTTTTGTTAGTAGTGTTATGAAATTCTGTTTTATGTTTACGATCTTAGTTTAAGATGATTAATCAATTAATTTTATTTAATTTAAAAATTACATCAAGTTTGGGATATTACTAACTCTGCCCAGCTAAAAAATTTTTTATATGTTGAGAGAGTGTATATTATTTAATTATATAATACATATAACGTGGAACATTACATTTTATTTTTATAAAGTACTATGCTACCATGTATCATTTATGATTCAAATGGAAAACTCAATAATAATTACTAATTTTTTTTTCTTTCATTCTAATTCGTTTCAAAAAGTACAAAATTTAATCTTTTTTTTCTATTGGTATTACTGATCTTGTTGATCTTTTGCCACCTTAACAAGCTTGTTCTTTCCAATTATCTGCATGCAGCTCTATTACATTTTTGTTGATTCTAGCCATCTGCTTTTTGCCCTTCCACGTCATCTTTTGTTTTCTATAGAGGCATTCATTGTTATGTAGGGGTTTCTATAATAAGTTCAAATCCTTAGTATTTATAATAAATTTAACTTCTATAATATAAAATAAGGCTGCATTTTATCATTATTTCAACACATTTATTACAATCTACATTGGCTACATTTTGATATGATGCTGATTTTAAATACAAAGCAACCTCATTGTATTTTGTGGTACAAATTAATTAATAAATTGACTTAACCCTTAATTAAGGTTATAATTCATAAAATATTAAATTAAATATGACTAATACCACCATCATAGATGCAAAATTGCATCAGTGTATAAAATTAATAGTGTTTATCTTACAGATGGCTTTAAAATGGCTTACTAGCTAAAATGTAGCCGATATAGATTGCAATAAATGAGGTGAAATAATAATAAAACACACCCTTATTTTGTATTATTATAAATACTTCACCTAAACAAATAAGCACATATAAATTTAACTTCTTTTTTTACCCCATGCCATCGTAAAATTGGCTTTGGCCATTTATTTCCGAACAGCCAAGTACAATTTTCCATATTTAGCACAAATACCAGCTTCTTCTTTGAAATTTCCTCAAACATCTTGTAATGAAGGAAAGTTAATAAGATCTTTGATATCTATTTATCCACTTGTGCAAAGCATGCAATTAGTGTCTTCCTCTACACCAATAAAATAAAGATGCTTAAAGAGGTAATCATGACCAGTCAGCATCCTAGACAAGCCATAAACTGGCTATGTTACAGGTTTATTGGGAGGTGTCCTGTATCCTTTGAAATTGCCCACTGTTTTCTGCTGATTTGTCCGTAGACTCCTTAGCTAATGAGACAGTGACTGCTATTTAATTTTTAAACCTTGTAATGAAAATCCACATTATCACTCATCATTGAAATTTAAGTAATGCTGTTCCTTCACGTTAAAGCGTTTTTCAACCTAAATTTCTCATGTAATTCTTTGGATTTTCTTCCTCATACAATTTCTTTCTGGCTATGCACTTCTCATGCCATAAAAACAATTGTCATTCCTTTTGTGTCACTTAATCCATTTTTTTTCAATGTTTTTAATTTCAAATAATGATCATAACTAAGTTTTATTTTTTGTCATTATTACAGAAAAATATTAAGTTAAACTGTAATTTATTAAAATATAGGTATTGTTTTAATTTAGGCTTGTAGGTCATCGGGAGATCCATTCTAGACTTACTGAAATGCTGTACACTGTAACTGATCGGCTAATCTACTTTCTGACCAGGATGCGTCCTGATCATGCTACGGGTCAACATTTCATCATACCCACTGAAAGAGATTGTGTTATAACACCAGAACCTAATAGTCATGGCCGACCGCGCATTGCACAGGTTGATTCTTCTCAAAATCACCATTAGATTAGAAATTTTAAAACAATATTTTCTGTATTTGATTCTAATAATTATTTATTTTTCTTTTAGCTGTCACATACACAGTTTGAAGACCTTGCCACTGATGTTTATGATGAAGTGGACAGGAGAGAAACAGAGACGAGTAAGTACTAATTCGGTAAAAATTTATGAATCGAGTTTAAATTGATAAAACTGAATGAAAATTAAGGGATATAGTTTAGGAATTTAAAAAAAAAAAAAAAATCCATCTATTATATATAAAAACTAATATTGTTTAAAACAAAAGTGTTTTGCTATTATGGATTCAAATTTATTTATAACATCAATTGAATGACTCAATAATCGTATAAACTCTAGTCCATTAAAATTTACATTTAAATTAATTTAGAAAGAATAAGTGTATTAGTCTGTGTCAAGATATTTTATTTTCCTTGGGAATTATAAAAATCTATTTATTTTATATATTTCGCTTTTTATTAACTAATTAATGTAATATTGTTTTTTTGCAGTTTGGTTATCGAGTGGAGCATCCCTTGAGTACAGTACAGTTCCGTTTCTACCAGTAGATCCTGATCTGAGCACCATGAGGAACCAGGGGAGGCAGAAGTTGGCGAGACTTTCTCCTGGAGAGTTTTCAGCGCTCGTACTAGATATATTACATGATGCTGATCGCCGCCAACTTGTTCATATCAGTCAGTATAATTTGATACTAATATTGAATATCTGTATATTATTTTTAAATGATTTTACTGTTGCTGGAAAGTCAAATCCTATGTGTATGAGGGGCGGGGTGGCCGATTGGACAAAGGCATGTGTACAGTACTGCTGTTGCCCGGTAACCTGATCAAAGATATAATTTGATAAAATAAGTATGAGTTCGCATCCCGGTGCTAAGAGGGGATTTTAACTCTGGCATTAATCCCCCATCCTTACCCCCGCCCGGGAAAACTCTCCTATTGCCTAACTAAAGGTAACAAGGGAAGGAAAAAAATAAAATAAAATCAAATCCTATGTTTTTATTTTAGTTTATTTCTGATTATCTGACCAAGTGTATGCAATGATGTATGGTATAAATTATTAAATTTCCAAAATAATTTAATATTGTTAATTTTTATGAATATTCTACTCTTATATTCAACCTTACTTAACTATAGTAATCTCTCATTATTACTGACTCGGTCCCTGAGTAACATTGGATAATAACTTATTTCTTAATTCCATCAAAAACAATGCAATTCTTGGCATATTTTTGAAGAAATTTATGGTTGACATGAATCTCAAATAATTTTAGGCAATAGTAGGGTGAAATTTTCAGGTGATACAAACCTATTTTTGGTGCAAATATTTAGTAAAGAATTCTCAATAATTTCTCACTTGACTCCTTTTTCTTCCTTTACATTAGAATTCAACTACACTTTTTAAATAAAACATTATTTTAATAAATAAATTTAAAATTTCTATTAAAACATATTCAAAAAATACATAATAATAAATGGAAACTTAAGTTTATATATTCGTCGTAAACCAACGACTTCCTGTCCTACAGTTTCCTTTAATAATACTCCACTTATCCCTGTTGAGCAAATCCGATACCTAGGACTCCACCTGGACAAACGACTAACTTGGAATCCTCATACTAGACTGAAACGACAAGAAACCACTCGACGTTTCCGATTACTTCAGCACTTACTAGACAAACGCTCTAAACTTCCCATTAATTACAAAAGACTTATATACTTGACTATAATAAGACCTATTTGGACTTACGGAGTTGAGCTATGAGGCTCCACTAAACCATTGAATTCCTCTCGCATCCAATCCTTACAATCCAAAATCCTTCGTAAAATCCTCAATGCTCATTACTTTGTCACTAATAAAATTATCCATAAAGATCTTAATGTTCCTTATGTTTCAGATCTGGCCCAATCCAGATACCTATCCTTCCATAATAAACTTCAGAATCATCCCAACCATCTCATTTCTAACCATGCTTCCTCTTCCCCCGTGGCCCCGTGATCTCTTAATGTAGTCATATCATTAGAGTGCTACCATTGGGTAGTTACTCAGCAAGTGTATTCATGTCATTATATCTATTATGTCCAAATTTACTTGATGTATTTATGTAATACAATTGTAAATGTCATTAAGAAATAAAAAAAAAAAGTTTATATATTGAATTATCAGAACTACAGCTTAAAAAAATAAATAAAAAAGTTTCTTGTGGCTCTATTGATAAAAAACAGATTAAAAATTTAAAAATAAATAGCATAGTTGTGTGATATCAAAACCGAAAATAGCTGAAATATTAAATTTTTCAAAATAAACAGCTACCACCAATATAAAAAACAGAAGATGGACCTGCTGTTTTCTCTAGATCTTCAAAGCACCTTCATATGCCTTGTCACAAAGATATTGATGTGTAGATAGTGTAAATGGCTCATAAGTGATAGTTCTCTTTGTTAATAAAATGTAATTTTTTTTTTCTATTCCAACCTAGCATGAGATGAAAGAACTATCGTTTACGGATTCTTTTCTCTAAAAATCTCAATTTCTTGTTTTTGTCACCCAGTCCTTTCTGTTTTAACTCTGTCTAAAAAGGGACAGTAAAAACTTATATCAACTGAATTAAGATGAACTTAGCATGAACTAGATGATTTGGCTCCCACCGAGTATGTATTAAAGAGGAACTACCCTACCCTATTAATATTTTTGGTTTTAGATGGCAAGGCCACCTCTGATGAAGAACCTCTCTACGACAGTGTTGCATCAGATGATGACTATGCCACTGCCGAACAATTAGCTATAATGGTGAGTGTGAACATTTTTTTATATCATTAGCTCCTGTTGAATACTCTATATTTCAGCAGCTTGAACAAACTGACATTTAATGTTTTTGTCTTACAACCTTTAATCTAAAATCTCTATTCCCTAAAACTTTTTGAATAAGCAAATTATACGGAAAAAATACACACCAGTGAGTGCCACCCTTCAGGCTTTTGGCATCTTTGGACAAATAGCACTGAAGATCTACTGCGTAAGCTGAAAAATAGGCTAAAAATAAATATTACACCAACATAGTGTGTGTCTGTTGACCACACCCCCTGACTAGACATTCCTTAAATTATAAATGCAATCATTTCAATAATAAAATTACAATTGAGGGTTGAAAATGCAAAAGAAATTGAAAATTTTTCAGTAAACCATAAATATTGCATAATACAAGAATTTATCTCCTAAAGTTAAACCTAAAATTTAAATGTAAAATCAAATTAGAATTGAAAAGTATTGAGGTTAAGTATCTTAAAGAGGTCACCAAATAGTGTGGGAAACATTACTAATTTCAAATATACACTGACAGGCAAAAAATTCCACCCACTTGATTTTTTCATGTTTTCATCTAAAAATATTTCTGCTTTGGATTGGTCTATTGTTTTTAATGAATAAATAGGTAATCTTTTTGTTTGTTTTCAATTAGGAATGTTAATATAGAGGACAATAACCCTTAATCCTTAATTTAATGAAATGGATCTAGATTCCAATGTTTACTTTCTATGGAATCAAAATGTTTATTCAGTATCATTACTTCAGTGCCGTTTCTTACAGGCACATTTCTTAGTCTCCGACTTTTAATTTTTTCAATATTAAGTGTAAAAGTGCCTCTTAGTGCTGAGGATGTTGCTCGTGGTGTGGCACTTATTGATGATGGACGTTCCATTAGATATGCAGCTAATGCCATTGGAGTTCCATATGAAACTTTACGAGGCGCCATCAGGCGTTTTCGGGAAACTTGTTCTTACAATAGAAGGACCGGTTCTGGACGGCCTAGGGTAACAGAACCACGGGATGACCGGTTTTTGACTATGAGAATTTTACGAAACCGGCATCTTACCGTTGTTCAAGCGATTCATCAGCTCGAAGAAGTTCGAGGTGTGCAAATTTTTGAACATACTGCTCGGAGAAGATTAAATGAGTACGGATTAATGGCTTTTCATCCAGTAACAGGACCAGAACTCACAGAGTAACATGGCTGGCTTTTGCTCGAGAACACAGCCATTGGACTATGGACGAATGGAGTGCTGTACTTTTTACAGATGACTCAAGATTAGCTCTTTGATCTCCAGGCGGGTGTGGAGAAGAAGAAACGAAAGATATGCAGCCTGTAATTTTTCCCAGAGCCTACCTTTCCAACGTGGTTCCTTAATGGGGAGGGCTGGGATTTCAATGGAGCGCCGCACAGAATTGGTTGTTGTTCGTGGAGAGTCTTTGATGGGCATTCGCTATGTAGATGAGATTTTGGAACCTCATGTGTTGCCTATCCTCAACGAAATCGGCGATCGTTCTATTCTAATGCATGCCCACATGTCGCCCGCATAGTTCTGACGTTCCTTCAACAGAACAATATTGAGGTTTTAGCCTTTCCAGCACGTTCTACAGATTTGAACATTTATGGGATATCCTCGGAAGACGAATAAGAGCGCTTGCAACACTTCCTGATACACTGCAGGATCTTGAAAGGGCTCTTCGGGAGGAATGGGCTATCCTCCAGCAAAGGGACATTTCCCGACTGGTGGAAAGTATGCCGAGGCGTCTTCAAGAAGTAGTGAAGGCAAGAGGAGGAAACACGCGCTACTAAACAATGATCTAATTAATTTCTTTTAGAATAATAATGGTTCGTTTTTCAATTTTTTTTTCTCTAATCTTTCTTACCCAATCACATTTTGATTATTAAAGGTAAAAAAGATTATAAAATTCCATAAATACTAAGTATTATCTACAAATACCATGTATTATATACAAATACAACTTTTTTTACAAGTGGCAGAAATATTTTTCGATGAAAACATGAAAAAATTAAGTGGGTGGAATTTTTTGCCTGTCAGTGTATATTTTTCTCTTTTGCATATCCATGCCTCAATTCAAATTATGGATTAAAATTTTTTTTTCATACGCCTCTTGACTTCGACTTTTTAAGTCATGAGTCTTCTTCAGCAGCTTGGGGCTATTATAGGCACATTAGTGATCGTTTTGTTCTCTCTTCTTCGAGATATCCTGGGAGCATGTGGTTTACTAACCAAATGCAATATTTTATTTTAAATATTTTATGAACTATTATCAAATGAAAAAAAATCGTATTTCTTTTTTAACATTAATGATGACCTTATTTATTAACCCATTTTTTAAACATCATTTTCTGAAATTGCAGTATTATTTTCATTTATTAGAATAAAGAAATAAGTGCCATTGATATTGAAAACCCACTTGGCCTATCTGTTTTGTTTTTTTACGAATCTTTCCTGATCTTACATCCTTGACTTTTAACTCCTTGTGATTTGAAACAGTAATTAATAAATAATATTTATGACCATACGAACGGGGATTTTCATACGAATTGCTGTTGGTTTAATTCTCAAAGTTATTCTGGTAACTTTGAGTATTATTTTATTCTGCTCGATGCTGCAAAAGGTTAGTTTTATTGTTGTTTTAATTACTCATTATAGAATTTTTTTTTAGGTGGCTCAAAACTCAAGAGGGCTCCCATTGACTGTAGTAGAGCCCCTTAAAAGTAGTGCTGCCAAGGCCGAAAGCTCTGTAGAGAGGGAGCTACGAGAACGTCTGGCACTAGCCCAGGCAAGGGAAAGTCAGCTCGCCCAGCAGGTCCATCACCTTACTAAGGCAGTCAGTTCCATTTATGATAATAACTATATATAATTATTTTATAATTATAATAAAGTTAATTTATGCAATAATTAATCAGATGAGTGACGTTTCTGAAGAGAACTGCAGGCTGAAAACTGCATTGAGTGGCCCCAACGAACCAGAACCAGTGATGGACCTAATGCGTGTTGGCAACAGACCAGTGTCTATGTATGAAGCCAGAGAAACTGTCAGGGTATGCTTGAATTTATTAAAGTATGAACCGTTTCCAAATTTATACAGGAGCCTTTTATTTGCTTTTGATAACATAGATTAGTTAATGATAATAAATAGTTTAGCCTTTATCTAAGAATATGACCCTCTGCTTTTTGAGGTTGTTAGGGTCTCAGATTGCATTCTGTATGTTAGAGCCTTAAATTGCTCTATATCTCATATACCTCTAGATGAGGTATATGATTATTTAACTTGTTAAAGAACTATTGTAATTTTTTTTATAGGGTGTGATGCCTCTCTCTGAGGAGGTCATTCGAAGAACTACTCAGGTTACCAAACGGATACAGGAGCTCTGGTCTTCAGTCCGACCGACAGAATCAAATTTTGTGTATGTTCCTTGTGCAGAGAGAATCCGAGTTGCAGTTGCAGAACTAACTGCTATTTTTCCGCAAGTATGCACTTAGTGATAATAGTTATTTTTGGTTGTAAACCAAATTGAATATATGTATGTTTAATTTAATGAAGCATTGTTTGTTTGTGCCATAATAAAAAAAACTTATTAAACATTTTACTAGTTAAATACGAGCCATCCAAATCAATTTTGTATCGTTCCATCTCAATTTAATCTGATCTATTTTAATTCCATGTCCTGATGACTAATTTATAAAAGGAATTTTGTAAATCTTGAAACAATGATGGTTCCCTTTTTTTTAAGCCGTATTACTGAATTTTCATGATTCTGTAATAGGCCTCATTCTGGAATTTGTGAGATCAGGCATTTTCTTTAGAAAAAAATCGGAGACTCTACATACATTATATGATAATTTTCGAAAACAATTTTTCTGTTTTCAATGTTTATATATTTAACTGATAATGCATGTATTTTCATTACCTTGTGCAAGTTTTCCATCATTTTAAAATTAACATTTGATAATCCTATCAGACCATGCAGCCTGTATGCTTGTCTTATCAAGACTGTCCTGTTATCCTTATTAGTTAAAATTGAGGGCATAATTAGTTTTAAGTACGTCTCTGCTCATTCATAATGGATAAACAAACCCTCAATTGGTCCTTATCAGTTGAGGTCTGGGCCTTATAAGACGGTTCGGTCACCTCCATTTAATTTCTGGCACACTGGCCATTACTCTCGAAATTCCATTTATAGTGTGATCATGAAATCTTATGCCCATCCAGCAAAGTGAAGCAATACTTAAAAAAGTAGTATCAATGTCTTCATTAAATAATTAAATTATTAATTAAAGTTTATAGTTAGGTACAATGTCAATTTTATAAATGTTATGATTTTCAACATCTTAGTGGTTACTTTTTCTAGGCCTCCACTGATGATGTAGTGAGAAATGCTCTTTACCAATTAAATACTTCTACGATGAGACTTCAGGTAGAATGTGCTGAATTAGAGAAGTGCGCAGAAAGTGTAAGGCAGCTGGCATTCAAAATTGCCGAAGCGAATCGTTTGTTGGTCAAGCGCTTCAAATGACAGAAGGGTAGGGGCTACAGGCTCCCTTCTCCTCTTCTGCTGCACAGGTAGTGTGACGTGGGTAAACCGTCGATCTGGTCATATGATTACACAGATGCTAATGTGTATATGACTATTTTTGTTACACTGTAGATGGGACAGAGATATTACTAAATATAATTGTTTCCTTTTAAAGTTTTAACCAGGATGAGATCAAATTCTCTATCTTACGCTATATTAAGTAAAATCAATTTTTAAAAGTTGGTTTAGGTCATATCTGTTTTATTTCTAAGATTTATATTAATGATAACATAAGAAAATAAAGCTTACTACTAATTATTATTTTTTAAATTATGCTGGATCAAATGATTTTTTCTTATCAATTTGAATTATAAGAAAAATAGTTTTTATTGTTTTTCTTTATAGTCAGGCTGTTCATTTGATTACTATAAAAACTACTTTTTTCTCTCTTTAAATGGTATATTTTTAATTAATTTTCTTCTTTGGAACTCAATAACATAATCTATCTTCATATTTAGGATAAGTGTGATTTATATTGAGAAAACTTCAGTATTTTTTCACTGCCCTTTCTAGTCTCCGCTTAAGTAAGATCAGTTCATAAGTTGAGGTAGGCAATTTTTTTTTTCTTGGATATAAGTTTTGAATAGTTATCCAGAACAATTATACTGAAGACATGAAACATTCCTTATTTTTAGCCTATCAATTCAGGTTTTAAAAGAAGACATTTAGTTTTCAAGAATTATTTTTATGATTTAAAAATATTTTTTTATTATAGTACTTCCTGCCTTTGTTATCTGATAAATGTTGTTAGGACTTTTTTTCTTGACCACTACTTCTCGGCCATTTTTCTTCAAGTTTTAGAATCCTTATTTTCCATCATTATAACGTTGTCAATGAACATAATTTCTAATTTATCCTATTTATCAACTATACTGACGTATATATTTTCCCTTCTACTTTTTTGTTTCATAGATAGCCCTAAATTGTTTATAAAGTTCTACTGATGGTGCCTTGGGGTTTCAAATGCACTTTACTTTATAATTTAATGATTATTTATGAATTTGAGTCCAATGTTTTAAGTCATTTTCTTTTGTTAAAACTTATTGGAGTATGACGGTTTTAGTTGTTCCATCTACAGTGACCGGCAAGAAGAGGCTATTATGTTAAGTAATTTAAACATTATATAATATAAGACAGTAATGAAAGTTAATATAGTATTTCTCTCTGTTAAGAGATTATTGTTTTAATTAATCAATTTGTATGAGGTTGAATGGAAATGTCTCAACAGGTCTTGTTCATTCTGATGAAATAAAAAGTATAGTTTTTCAAGTTAGATATCTATGTATGTTTTTTTCTGCTTTGAATCTAGGAATTTAATTTTCTATTCCATTAAATAATGATTTTTACATACCAAAATATACAACATAATTAAGACAGTAAAAAAAGAGAATTATAGAAAGAAGAAAAAACTTTGTGTAAAATATAATTCAAGTGATAAAGATAGTAAATAGAATCAACACTCTACTTTTCAAATAATAAAAAAAGGTTAATATTTAACAAATTGAAATAATGGTTTGTCTTGGAGGTACGGCCTGAGTCATGCATTTATAAAAGCTAATAAAATACATTTTAAACTAAATATCTTTACTTAAGAGACAACAAGGTGGAAGGAAAACACTGAAAGATATTTATTTGATGAATATTTTGAAGCTGGAAATATCATTTATGCTAAAATGTTTAAGAGATACAACCTATTAGATTGACGCTGGCAAATATGCATAAAAAAATCTGTTTGACTTTAAAAAAAAGTTGATAAAAAAAAAGTTTGACTTTTTGCATTTTTATTGTTATAACCTAATCTTCAGAGATGAATAAAAATGAAAAACATTCCTGTACCTGATTGAAAAAAAAATTGTTAGTGCAAAAACCACCAGTGCTAAAAAAATATCTTTTGTTGAAATGAGATTTAAAATCAGTTTCAGATCTTTGATTAAAATAATCGTAAAAATTACCTTAACAAATTCAATTTGTTTAAATGATTGCTGTATAATCACACTAATTTTTCTCAAAAATTGGGATTGATTATTCAAGCATCAAGTCATAGATATTTAAGATATGAAATTGAATCAATCTGCCACGCTTGAAGAAGGGTTTTGTCTTCTGTCAATAGAATTTTCTGCTATTGAATTACAAGCAATTGTTTCAAATAATTTAATTTGATAAAAGAAAAAAAAACATTTATTTTATTTTTTGAATTAAAAAAATTCTTATTCCCTTCTTGTAATCACAGAGAATTCAGTAATAATTCATTCATAGGTTACAGAAATAGCATGATTCATGTTGGGGCCTTTCAAATACCACATACCATTTCTGTTTATAAAACTTTAGTATGTAAATATTTTTGCAAAACCAAAGGTTCACTTCCGTCCATGTCCTCCCACATCAGATTAAAATTTCCCTGGAGATTTATAAACTATTTAACGTCTCATGTCCAATGCCAATGAGGCTATATATCTAGAAGCATCTACTTTCTTTTTTTAATCCATTATCTCCTTCTCTTCCCTCTTCCTTAGTTGTTGGAAAATTGAAAATTGCTTTTCAATAATGTATGTTTTTTTATTTTCATTTATTTTTATGTTACATGCTATAACTTGAGAACATGTCCACAAACTTTAGAATGATAAAATTGGTAGGCTTATAAAATGTGAAATTTTTTATTGTTGTGCAATAATTTTTTTTTGCTCAAAAAATGAAAAAAAAATACAAGAATATTGTATTAATAAAAAAAAAATGATTTTTCCTTATTTTGTTAACCTTAAATGTGTTAAGTGTTGATTGCAGAGTATTCTTAATAATTAAATATATTTATGCTAGTGATATTTATTCTTTTCAAAATTGTGCCAATTCATATTTTTTTGTTCAGTATGATACCTTTATAAGTTTATTCTGGTACTATTAGTGGGTTTTAGGAAATATTTTAAAAAATATAATGCTCATAAAAGATTTATATACATTTTTTTTAATTGTCATGTCAACAATGATCTAAATAAATTAATTACATTGTAAAATGACATGAAATAATATTAATTTATGACCATGATTAATGAAATGTATTTTAACGGATTTTGTATAAAATCTTTAGCATGTAAAAGAAAAAAATACAAATGTTTAATGGCATTAAATAACAATAAAATAAAAATAAATGGTTAATAAAACAAATAACAATTAAAGAAAAGTATTATTAATAAGTTATGCTTACTGTGTTACTAATGCATTGTAATAATCAATGCAGATTAAAATCTTTATGAAAATTATTAATGGCAAATATTTCATACTATGCCATATTGTGCCTATTATATAAATATATATGTTTGTAATATTATATTATAAGACTGATTAACTATTAGATAAAGTGACATCCTTTCACAAGGCTTCCTATTTTGTATATTAAAATTAATAAAACAATATATTGTATAAATTATATGGCAATTCTGTATTATTACTATATATTATATAAATGCTCATATAGATGTTTGATGATTGTAATATTAAATTATAACTAGTATTTTAATTTTTATTATTTTTTTGCCTGGATTTATGTCTAATATTAAAAGTTGTATACTTAATTATTCTAGCCATGTCTCACAGGAATTTTGGCAGGCTTCTTCTTAGGTTATATATCCTGCACCTGCTCACGCTTGAAAATTATTTTATTGAATTAGTTAACATGGATAAAACAATATATATAATAATTACAATCTTGTACTTAACAATAATTGTATAACTTTATTAAAAATATTACAATTGAGATAAAAAAAAATATTACAACACATTTACAATTACTATAGAAGTTCACAACAGAATACTTCCTCTGTTTTTAATTTTGTAATGTTTTTCTACATTATTATTACTTCATGATGATATTACATTAAAAAAATTATAAACCAATACAAATAATAACTTAGGTACTTCAGATCAACAATCTATATTTTATGGATAATAAAATAAATTATTTAGTCCAAAAGCCATAATAACAAATTAGTTACCTATCTCATACGTGGCTAGAATAGGAAAGTACATAACATTCTTAATTAATATATATTTATACAAAATTACACTGGTTCACTTGCCACCTCCACAGCCTCCGCCAGAACAGCCACTTCTCTTTGGAGGTTTGTACCTGCTACTGGAGTCTCCCATTAGAGGGTTGTAATCTGTATAAATTACATCGAACTATTAATTTTATTTTCAAAATTATATTAAAGTTAAATAACTAAGTTTCCCTAGTCATTAATAAGTGCTGGATGATTTTTTAACTTCCTGAAATAAATAATTATTTTATTTCCTACACTACCTAAGGTAATTTATGACAGTATAATTATTTCAGGAAAATAACTTGACTTTTACCTTTGACGACGTTTCAGGCTCACCTGGCTTGTCTTCAAGTCGGTTTTCATACTTGTTTTTGAAGTCATTTCTTTATATTAATACTTAACAAGTCATGCTTTTTAAATATATGCTTGCATTTGACTATTTTCTTTATCTCTTAAAGGTTCATTTCTCATATGTCCATAATAATGGCAAAAATTCCTTGACACAGCCTATATGAAAAAGGATCAAAGTGGCCCATGTAAACAGTTTTGAGTGCCAAGAGGTACATGGTTGAGAAACTCTGCTTTAAGGGAGTAAAAGAGTGTTACTACTGCTGGATGAAAGTAAGTTTCTAATTTATAGATCTTTTAGGAACAAACATGAGATAAATTATGTCTCATTGTTATTATTATATTAGGTGGTACATCATTGCTAAATAATGAGCTTGAAATTTTCAGTTTACTCATTACCATAAACAAATTTAGCTTTTCTCAAAGCTTAGTATTATTTTTTAAAAAGTGGCAGTAGCCAAACCATGTTGGCAACCTGAGGATAAACTCATGTGGCACTAACAAAAGTTGAAGCAGGATTAACTAAAAAGGAAATCAAATTAACTTTTTTTCTTTCAAATTATTACATTTTTTTCAATACATCATTGCTTAATTTCTTTTATACTTCATTTGAATGCAAGATAATTTACAACATTCCTGAAGCATACTGGATGAAATGTAAACAAAACTGCGGAACTTTTGAGGTCATAACGGCCACAGCAGTCAAACACGAAATTCTTATCAATAAGCCTGGTTTCACAACTTAAAAAATTAATATTTTTTGAAAACCTCTTATCTTAAAAAAATTTAGTTTTCACCTAAATGTTTCATTATATATGCGGCATAATAAAAATGGATATAAAAAAATATACATACATAAACCTCATTCTATATGTTTATGGGTCCAATTCAAGATTAAAGTTCTTCAAAAAAAGCAGAATCCATCTTTTATGAAACTTAACAGATTAGATTCTTTATAATAGTTTATGGTAAATTAAAATTATTGATTGATTGATTAAAAAGTAAACAAAAGAGAATAATGGTTCTGAGATCCCTGGGACACCTCGCAAAATGCAGAAAGAAACTTTTTAATAAATAATATATTTTGTGAATCTATTGTAATTTTGTTTATTGTGAAATTAACTCCATATTGGTGAAATTCTTTTCCATGTCTGGCTTTTATATTCCATTCTTGATAAATAAGAGAAGTGCTCTTCTCTTTAGTAAAAGTTTATTAATATCAGTATAACATTGCTAAAGATTACAAATAACTTCGTCTTATTGCACAACTGGTTAACTGATAGGATATTTTCCAGTAAGGCAAGCTAATTATTGATCAAGTGAAACGTTACTTCAAGATTCGCTGTCTTATGTTGAAGCTGAATGTGGAGGGTTTCAGAGATCAGTCATTTGTCTTGGTTAGGAACAGAGGCGAGGATGGTAGTTTTGTCGAAATCAGATGTATGGTTTAGGGAGAGAGAATGTTCGGATAATTCTTTTCTCAGCCCAGATGAAGGGCTGAACTTCGGGCCGAAACGTCAGGAATGTAAAAATAAATAAAATTGTTTGATTTTTACCATTTCAATTTGACTGAACACCCCAACCACCCTTCTCTTCAATTATTCACTACAGTCAACCATAAACCCACAATTATTATCTATTATAATTTATTTTGAAAATTACCAATTTAACCTGCTGTACTATTTAAAATATGATAGCTACTCCAATCTATCTTGCAAAACTATAGTCATAAAATATTATTAATTCTGCTTGTTGTACCTTAAAATTAATTGTTTTAACATATAAATTTAATAACAAAAAAGGATATTTATTTATTTTTCATAATTTAATGTTAGGTTAATTTTTTCGGAATCAGTAAAGATTTTCACTAGCCCTGATCTTTCAAAGAACCACAAGGTTTATCATATGGCAGCAATAACATCTTCTATTAATGAGTAGATCAGTACCAACCTGATTTAAATCCTTTAGAATTAGAGGGACCACTATCATTTCCAAGTCTGTTCCCACCCTCTTGCTTCTCAGCCTTGGCTATTTTTTCCATCAACTGCTGCCGTTCCCGCTGTAAAGAAGCAAAGCTACATATTGATAGGTGCACTACAACTTAGAGAACAGTATGGGAATATTTAATAAAGGCATTTTATCTTAAACAAAAGATACAATGCCAAAATCTAAAGTTAAAAAAAAAATCTACAACAATCAGTTTTTCGGTTAAAATTAGAACATATATTATTTTTAAGAAAAATTAACTAAAAATTAGGTTTTACATAATAACAACATACCTCCTTCATTTTTTCTTGATGCTCAAGTGCTTTTCTATTCAGCTCTTCCTGCTGCTTCTTCCGAGCTCTTTCCATAGCTTCTACTCTCTCTAATGCTAAATCTGGATCTAATATAAAATTTAAAAATTAATTTGACAACAGATGGAACAAAACTGTAACTTTAATGGCTGGAAGAAGAGACTAGAATGATATAAATAACTTGATTAAACATTTTAAAACCTTTAAATTTTAACCACAATATTGATAAAATATAATCATTCTTATCGGACTTGTACTAGTGTGGTTTCCAAAACTATATTTTTGCAAAGCCCAAATTACTTTAGAATGGTTGATTTTTTCTCTATAAATCAACCATATAATTATTACATAAATCAATTCCTTAGTATTTCCTAAATTAATTATCTACTCCAGTTTCCTGGACTACCATACAAATAATATTCAAATATACTGTTAAGTATATTCACCTTCACTCAGGATACTGGTGCTTGCTCAAAGAACGTAAGTTATAATAAAAGTTATAAACTATGAGCTTAATCATTTCAGCAATAGGAAAGCATTTAATGCTGAAAAAAAATATGTATTTTTGGGGTGCGTAAAGTAGAGGTAACGCTCCCTCCTTTACCTCTTATAGAGAAGAATTTTTCTGATCCTTACTGCCACAACTATGTGTTTTTCAACTTTGTTAATTATTTTCCCATTTTCCCCCTAAATTGCATGGATCACTCAATTCTAAGTGAGGGATGGTGCTTCCTCCTATAAGTGCTTCCCTTTGAAAAATGAAACATTTTGTACAAAAAAAAAAAGAGTTAATTATTAGCGCTCCAACACCCTCTGAGTGTTTACCCAAAGTTTAATCATTTTGAAAATTATTTCTCCCATACTTATTGATTTAAAAATAGTAAATTGTACCACATAGCGGACTTGAGAAATCGGCTAAAAAAGAAATTAAATGAATTTGTGCTATTAAAAAATAAAATATTTCACTTTTAGAAAATATAGTAAAGAGAGTTCACTCTATACATTTTCACTGGTCTGTAACAACCAAAAGCGATTGGTTCTGTAGTTGGGAAAAAAATAGGATGTCAGAAGCCAGATGGTCTTATTGTCAGTGGCATAGGCACTGAATAAAAACAAATTTAGAAATTATGTCAGTAAGGCTTTTAATCATGACTGCTGATAAAAAAAAAAAATAAATAAATCAGAGAATGATAAAAGTAAGATGTTTTATTTGTTATGTTTAATTAAATACAAATTAATCTACAACGAATTACAAATCAATTATATGTTCATTTTGACACAAATCCTCCATTTGTGAGAAATCTGATAAATTATGAGAATTTGCATCACCTAAAGTCAAAGCTGTTCATGGTTACCACTTTAGCAAACCAATAATTTCCCTAAATACTAGCAGTAAGACACTAGTGCACTTTTTTCACTGTAATCAGAAGACTTCTCTTCCTTAAGACTTAACAAGCATTGAAAATAAAAAAATTACTACCTTTCATTTTTTAAAAATCTCACTTATGTTATTTAAAAACCTCTTTCAATTTATACTAACATTTTTTTTTCAGCAATGCATGTCAATGAACGTCTTTGTAGATCGAGGTACGGAAAGCAACATACTTCAGAATTTTGAATTTCAAAATTTATTTAAATGTAAATATTTTTGCCATTCACTATTTACTATAACTTGAAATAAAATTCTTACTTTTATTTTTAATCAATTTTAGTATGACTGAAATCTTTATTTTCAATTTAATTCTGTTATTTCAGAACTGGAACTTGTAAGTTTTCAAGTAAAGGTTTTACAGAACTTTAATTTAATATAACTTAATAAAAAATTAAGATAAATTATAACACTATTCTAAACCTGATTAGTGTTTATTTCTCATTTAATGTAACTTTTTTACTTAAGAAAATAAATAAAAGTTTAAAAGTTAAAAAGTTAAACTTTTACGACAAACCTAGAACTAAAAAAAAAGTTTCTTACAAGTAGTAAAGTAGACAAATATATTGAAATTAGAGCAATAACTCTGATATTAAATACACCAAAAAAATCACAAATATTTATTTTTAACTGAAATTCTACTTACTTTTATGGTACTTCTCAGCATATTTCCTTGATTCTCTTTTGTCATACCAACGGTCTATATGTTTTTGAATTTTATTCCAATATATACCAAGCACCACAAGTCCAGCAAATATAAACCATCCATATTGGCTAAAGAAATAACCACCTGTATAAAATTACATATTTAATTATTACACTACCAATCAGAAAAATATATATGTTTCTATAATAATAAACACATATATTGTAATACTTATATTATATAAACAAATATATTTTTATTCAGATATATATGTAAGAAAAAACATTGAAATATACCTTAAAAGATATAATAATATACTATCAAAAGTATGATAGTATACCGTATAATATGGAACCCAATATTGAAAGGAACTAATACAGATAAAAATGTAAAGCATTAAACACATTTTTTTTTTTTTTCAGATGAGAACATAATAAACAAAAGACATTTTTTTAAAAATTATATTTACTTTTTTAGGAGGCCTCTAACTAACTTTACTCTGCCACATGTCCAAATGGCCTGAATACCCTACTGTTGGAACCCAATCATTTAGTTTTAGAAAAAATAAGTAAAATCCTGATATGATTCCAATTGAAATAGTTGATGAGAAAAACTATAAAAAAAGTTCAGATATGGGTAAATAGTCGATTGATAAATTATAAGGATGAAACAAAATTGTCAGGAATTTCAGTCAAGATATTTTTGGGTTGGCCGACGTTTCGACCCAAACATGGGGGTCATCCTCCGGGCTATCATTTGGAATTCGTGACAAGAACTCTATGATAAAAATGTTTTTGATGTGCTCCGCACTTTTGGGTTTTTCCGAGAAGTACTTCTGTCTTAAAGTTTGATCCATGATAAAACAATTCTCAGTACTTCGAAGCCTATATTCACTATGGGAGAATTTATAGTTCTCAAGGAAATTCTTTATTCTAATCATAATTCAGTACCAAAACTGATAATTTAAAACCTTAATAATTTGAAAATGAAGTTAGGAATTCCATGTCTTAAGCTAAATTGCAATTAGCGTTTTGGCAAAACAAATTTCTTCTCCCAATCGAACATCCTCAGCTTCCTCTTTTAAGTAAGTGGATCAAACAGAAACCAATGACTTATCTATTAAGAATGGTGTGACTACTTCCGCTAGCAATATATCAAAACTCTAGAGGTCGGCTTATAGACTCACAATACTGTATTTATCAATTATAATTAAACAAATAAATAAATTATTTGTAATTTGTTATAAATAAAAACAACTATGTTCTATGAGTTTGCCGATGTTGCGACCCGAATATGTGGGTCATCATCAGAGCTAGCTTTTTTGACTGTACACCCAGACCATTTATCATTCTTAATAATTCAACATTCAACTATATATTTGTCTACAACTTTAATAAGTGACAAAATATTAGATGTAGGTAGTATTAATTTAGTGGCTAGAGTTAATGAACAAATTATCTCAATGATAAAATTATCCCTTATCTTTGACAAGTAAAATAATTTAGATATCAAAATATATCCAACCAATATCAGTTATTGATTATGGTTTGGGTGTTTCATGTAGTAAGCCATATTTCATGATAATGATAAAGAATAAATAGTGCTAATTTTATAAACTAATAAGGGAGATAAAGTTTCAATAAAAAACAGCAGCAAAGCCATATCATATAACCTTGATGCCAATAACCTGGCACAGACTTTACAAAGATGATTTGAAAAAATATATATGGATTGATAAAGACACTATAAATCGCTATAGTAAGTAAAATAAAATTATGAGGTTCCAGTGTAATAAAAAATACCATCTTGTTAAAATAAACTTCATAGAGATTATCATTTAAGATACTCTTTCTATAAAAACTGCAGATGGCTATAACTAACAAGTACACCATGGGTAAATTTACATAAGATAATTCTGTTTTTAAAATGAAACAAGCCAAAAATAATAGTAAAACAGCAGCAGTTAAAGAGACAAGCTGAAAAGAGCACTTATGGAGATCGATCTACTTAAATTGGAGAGATCCTAGGAAAAATATTTATGGTAGGACTAATATCAAGTGAGATTATAAAACTCTTTTTTTTTTTTTCAAAACACCTCTTGATTCTTTTGACTTTCGCCATTAGTCTTCTCGAAGCATTAGGGCTGTTCTAGGCGATAAACTGTAATTGGTTGGTTCTCTTCTTATATAGATGATATCCAGAGAGCACATGGTTTATGATAACCAAACGCGATCACAATCACTCCCTTTTCATCAGGATGGTTGGCAACCTTCTGCATACCTCTCTATCCTATTATTGTTTTTTAAGGGATAGGGTTATTAGCCCTATCTCAGAGGTCGCTTATAAGGTTATTAGCCCTATCACAGGGGTCGTTCTCATCTTCCAGTGAATTTCAGACTGGGGACGGTAACGTCCAATAAAAAATCCAATATTTTATTCAATTTATTATATCATTTTTTGCAAGGTTTTGATATTTGGGCTATATAACTTAAAACTACATTTACTGAATATTTTATTTTGCTTGTAATCAACTTTATTTTATTGTTGTTTCTTGTATAAAATTTTTCTTAATTTACTCCTATTTTATTTTGCTTATTTGTATTTTCTATGGTGTAAATGGACTCTTACTTATCTATAACTAATGTCCACATCGTGACAGAATGTTATATTTCTTAATATTAATAAAAAAAAAAAAAAAAAAAAAAGAGAGAGAAAACTATAGAAAAAGTTATAAATTATGCTATAAAGTTATAAAAGTTTAACTGAAGAACCAACCCTGAAAGCAACATCTATAAAAGTAGTAATTAATTTAGTTTAATTACATTGATTCTTGTGAAATTTTAAGATTTTGGTAGTTCACGTATTTTGGAATTTCATTTCATTCAAAAGGTTAGCTTCAGCTTCTGAATTACTTAAACACTAAATTCAAATGACTCGGGTAAGATTGTTCCGTGAAAGGTTCGCTAGCTAGATAGGGGTGTCTCCAGCAACTCGTATATAAGAGTGGAGCATCTTCAGGCAGTCATTGAGCAGTGTGCATCAACAGGATTACCATGATCAAAACAGTAAGTATCAAATGTAAACGGGGGAGGTGGGGAGTAAGGGGGTACTGGATACGGAAACAAAATATATAGAGGGTAGAAAATAAAATGTGCCTTGCTTTGTTGAGTCCAACACTTTAATTACCAACTAGGATAATTAAAGGCTAGTTATATCTAAGAATATAAATGGGATCGAACCAGTGCCGTAGTGGTCTATGCAATCAAGTAGGGACTGTACTTATTTATGTATTATTAATTACTTATATTTTTATATTTTTTTTTGGGGGGGGGGGTATTTAATCGCAGGAACAGGATTTAAACTTGTAGCATAAACTTTTTGCAGGCGCCTTAACTCACTCGACTACTGCAGCCCAAGAGATTAAAAAACTAAAATTTAAATAAACGATAAAAGGAACATATATAAATAAAAACAAGGAGAATACCACCTCTCACTTTGGTCTAATTATCATGAAAAAAATCGCTACTTTCCTGATTTTTAGATCAAATATTCATCCTTTCTAAGAAATGGAAAATATTAGGTAGATGACATGACAGATACTTGACATACACATGTTCAAATGTCAACTTCATTGAAAAACAAAACTTACCGGTGGTTAATACTTCTGAAGGCGTGGCAGGATCTACTAATATTTCCTCAGTTTCGATTTCCATGCTTATATATATTATTTGTCAGTCCCACACAGCCAAATTACAGGAATATCAAAACTATGATAACAACTAAAAAATGTATGTTTATGGTGAACAGCTGATTTAACCTCGACTTACAGCTAGTTTGATCTTATTATGGTCCAATTAAAAGCATTACTGAGATGCAGTATATTTAATTTTGAATGGTTTTCATGCAAATGTTTTTTTTTCCCAATGTTAGGGGCTCTTAATTCGTTGAACCTTTATGAATTGGCTTGTTGCACAGTGAAAGTCTCAATACGAGTAGCATACCCAAGAAGGCGTAGATCTTTGATCCTTGCCTCAGTCTTCTGGCTTCTCTCCGCAATTAATTATTTCGGTCTGTGTTAAGTCATGTTTATCAACGAAGTTGGTGTTCTAGTTTAGTAATAGCAAAATGTTCCGTCAGAATTGTCGAAATAAACCTTATGTCATAGCAAAATGGGTTGGAGAGAAGCAATAGTCGTATTCTTTATGAAGGGACTGGTTGAATATGAAGATTACAGAGTTGTTGTGATCGTGAGAAGGCCCCAGGCCTGAAGTGACTTTAAGTTATTGACAAGTGACATATAATTTACTAAAAATGGCAGACTTGGAAGCTGTCCTGGCTGATGTTAGCTATCTGATGGCAATGGAAAAGAGTAAGTGTACTCCAGCTGCCAGAGCCAGTAAGAAGATAATTCTACCTGACCCTAGGTAATAAAGTTTCATATTTCCCTATTGTAACGATTTCATCAAGTGCTTTAAAATTTAATAGATTACATTTATGTTTTGTTTATTTATTTTTAATATATTAATGAGTGTTTTGAATACTTATCTAATCTTGATATTTTATGTGTTAATGTCATGGATCTATTGCCTAAAATAAATCATTTTATTTTCAAAAGTTTAGTTCCATTAGTCATACCATTCATGTAGTAGAGATCTTTTTGGTTGAAGGCCTGAATCCATGAGAGCATTCTTCCTGCTGAAGTGTGATTGTATATGTTACAATGTAAACATTTATCTTAGGGCTTCCTCACATCAGTCACACTTGTTCATTTCTTGAAAGGTTGTTTTCTTACATTCTTTTATAATTTACTCCTATTAACATTTGTTTTATTTGCTATTTAGATTGGATAAATTAATTAATCTGTTAGGCTGACAATGATTGTTAGTTTTTAACATTACATATGACCAGTGGAACAGTTTCTAAAATGTTGCTCCTCAAAGTGATTTTTATTTGTAATAAATTTATCTTTTATTAAGGGTATATAATTTTATTTTTATCCATAATTTACTTTATTTTCAAATTTCCTTATTGCTAGCACTGAAATCTCTCCATTGCTAGTAAAATGAAAATTATTTTCTATCTAATTTAAATTCTAGAAAATTTTATTCAAATTTCAATATATGTCCTTATTTTATAATTGAATTGCCAAACAGATGCAATTTTATATTTTGAAGTAAATCTATACTCTCTATTTCGAAACTACTTTTCTAAGTTTCATATTCTCTTTTAAATTGAATACATACACATCAGAATTGTTCTTTATTTTTTTTTTGATCTAGAGCTTCAATTTTTTAAATTAAATTCATGCATAAATAAATTATCAATACATATATATTGTTCATAGTTCAAAATATTTGACAATTTCTTACTACTTATTATTGTTCATTATGAATTCAGAAATATCAAGATTGGTTTTTTGAAGTTTAACTCTTATTAGTAATGTATAATATGACATATTATAATTGACAGCTAATTTCTTAAGTTATAGATGATTTTTTTTTTCATTGACACCTTTGTTTGTTGATTCTGTATTCTCAAAGTAATTTAGTCAAGAAAAAGTAATTAGTGCTTGCCATTTAACAGATAACTTCTTGACTGGTGATTGATTCATAGTTTACTTAAAACCAAATTCTTTTAAGTTACTTTTTATGAAGTACTTTAGATTCAGTTGATGTCTAGATTTTCTTCTTCTGTTAACTATTGATTATACATAACATAAATTATTTGAATTAGACTAAAAGCAAATAATTGTGGGCAATAAAAGTTATTGGCTTTTATTGTCTCCACCCATAATTTTATTTATTAATATCCACTGTTTTAAATTAAAAGTTAAATTTGCTTTTCTGACAATTATAATTTATCCTGATTTAATTTTGTGATAAAGTTATAATGATAAAATTAGATGTCAATTATCAAAATAAACATTACTTATGCCACAATATAAATTATTAACACTGTATGATTATTTTATCTACTTTGTTAAGTTATTTAATTGTATTTATCATAAGCCATATTTTCTTAAATTTGTTTGAATAGTTTGTTAATGTTGTGATGTTTTTGACTGGCTTAATTGAATGGGGGTCCGTAATTAAGAAGCCTTGAAAAAATTGAAGGACAAAAAGTTTGTAAAAGAGTGAATTTGAGGCATAATTAAAAAAAAATGAGTTCTATGTCGAATGAGTTTTATGTTGGTTGTGTTTTGTATATCAAATTAGAAAAAAAAACATTGTCACTAAAACATACTTGTAGTTAGTTTTTATTAAGATAAATAATCTCATGAGTGAACGATTATTTAACTTATTGCTTCATAAAAAATTAACTGTATAATATTATTGTTGTTTATGATTAGTTATTTATCAGCATTAGCATAAATCTTAAATAAAAAATAATATATTTTTTTTTATAATGGATTTCATTATTGCAAAATTTATGTTAAGGTGATTGTACGTATATTTTTATATGTTGCCTGTAAAAAAAATTAGTTTTTTCTCAATCTTTGATATTAGACCACTCAAGTCTTTGTGACCACTCAGTGTCTTTTGAGAACAGTGAATTTATTTTATGTATATTGTGAAGTGCTTTTATATCAAAAATTAGTATGAAGAAATCAAAATTGTCAAAAAAAATTAGACTACAATATGTAGTTTTCAACCTAGGAACTAAGGTATGATTAACAAAACTAACATCTTTGTGATTTAAATACAAAAATTTTCATTGTACAGTATCTTAAAAAAACACACACAGATAACAGTTTTGGCAAATCATACAAGAAAGTTTCATGTTTCATATGTTTTATCCTGGCTGAAGTCCTAACCCTTTCTTAAAATTAATTTTGTTCTTTAGTGACAATCACTAAATTATATTGTTAGCTCACTAAATTTTAATTAGTATTTTATAAATCCCATCCGGATTAACAGATGTCTGGAGTGTATATCAACCCTGGAGTCGAGAGACCATTCTGGGGCTAACCCAGGCTCTATAAAGTGGGTACCATTAATTAAATAATTAATTAAGAGGGAAAAACTGGCAGTTGAGAGTGATCTCAGTCAAATCATCTCCTTGCACAGCCGTCGTTGACCAAGAAACAGTGCTTACCCTAAATAGTATTGAGCCCCAAGATCCTTCATGGATTGTAGTGATATAGATTTTTTTTTTTTCATCATTACAACCTGCTTACAAAAACCATTAAATGCAAACCATGTTGTATGTTATTTTCTTAAGGAATAATTTATTTATTATTGGCAAGGGTGCAGTCAGTGAGTTTGGGTTTCAACCAATTTTTTTTGGTGATAGCATCAAAAAATACTGGATATATATCGCTGTATTCTTTCCAATGGGTTTTAAATTCCAACAGTTTTTTTTTTCTGTGTAAAATAAAAAAAAAATACTGTCAATATTACTAAATAAATGAGTATGAATATATTAGAAATTACAGAAACCAAAAATGCTTCTAGTAAAATTGGCAAAGTAAATTTTTTTATGAAAATGCAAGTTATTTATATTTTTAATTTTTTCTTTTTTTAAATAATTTTGTTTATTTTTTTCAACCCGAATTCTATACTATCTTTAACGATCTCTTCGATTTATAACGATGAGCCCTGATGAAAGCCTGAACTTCGGGTCGAAACGTCGGCAAGTGTTAAAATAAATATTATTATTTATTTTTGCAATTTCTAGTTTTGACTGATCACCCCAACTATCCTTCTCTTTATTATTCACTACAGTCAACCATCAACCCACGATAAAAAAATATATACGTTTTTGGACTCTATTTTCTTGTAGGATTTTTTAAGGCAAAAATTTCGACTACCTGGGCAAACTATGTTTATTTTTATATTTCTGTAAAAAAATTTATTAAAGGGGTTTTTTGAGGTGCGAAAAACTATTATCAACCACTTCTCTGTAAAAATATATTAACCCCTACATTGCTATATTAGTGAATCCAATTTGTCTCAGTTTTGTACTCATAATGTAGCTATCTGTCAAATATATTGTTTTTTTACACCTACGTGGTATCTAGAGTACGATGAGATCAAAGGACCTAGTATTGACTTTTTGTGTTCTAAAATCATACATGTATTGCTGATGTTATATGTGATAATCATCAACTGTTCACTAAATTTAATGTTTTGTTAGGAAGAAATACAAATTTTTATAAATTGAAATTAATTTTTTCCCTTCTAATCAAACATCTTATGGGATCTGGATGAGCTTATAGATATTTTCTAAACATAATACTTTTTTCTAAGGCTGGGTATCTAAGATATTTAGAGTAAAGAGTATAGGTAAAAAAAAAATAATAATAAAATAAAAATTGAAGAGAAGAATAGTTGGGGTGGTCAGTCAAAAAAGAAGGCAAAAATAAATGATAATATTTATTTTTACATATGCCGACGTTTCGACCTGAAGTTCAGGCCTTCATCAGGGTTAAGAAAATAACCAGATAACAAGAAGGCCTGAACTGAAAAAGCCTGATGAAGGCCTGAACTTCAGGTCGAAACGTCGGCATATGTAAAAATAAATATTATCATTTATTTTTGCCTTCTTTTTTGACTGACCACCCCAACTATTCTTCTCTTCAATTTTTATTTTATTATTATTTTTTTTTTACCTATACTCTTTACTCTAAATATCTTAGATACCCAGCCTTAGAAAAAAGTATTATGTTTAGAAAATATCTATAAGCTCATCCAGATCCCATAAGATATTTGATTAGAAGGGAAAAATTTAATTTCAATTTATAAAAATTTGTATTTCTTCCTAACAAAACATTAAATTTGAGGTATGAGAAACATAAGTAGTGATGGTAAAAAAAAAATAAATAAAAAAAATATATAAAAAAAATAAAAATAATAAATAAATAAATATAATTATAATTAATAAATATAATAAATAATATAATTTATTTTTGCCTTCTTTTTTGACTGACCACCCCAACTATTCTTCTCTTCATTATCCACGACAGTCAACCATTTACCAATTATAAAATAAAAATTAATGAGATCTCGAGGAGGCTTAGATTAGATTATATGCATATAATTAGGTATGTTGCATACTGAACAGTAATAATATATATAGGATATGTGTGATATTGAAGATATACATGAAAAGTATCTCCTGATGCTTTTTTTTTTGCTTCTAATCTTGACTCTACATATTCGACTGGTTGAAATTGATTGGTAGATAATAATGTTATAACCTATGGAACAATATGAATCTTTTTAAAAAATAGTTCAATCTATGTTTTTCTCAATTCCTAAAATCCATTGGAGTAGACAGATGACAGGTATCTAATGTTTTTCGAAATAGAATCATCAAAAAGAATTTGATTGAAATCACTGTTTTTGACCTTCCCTTGTCCCTTGTGCGCGTATTAATTTCATGCTTTCAGAAGTGATCATGGCTTATAATTAGTCTTGTAAATTTTATTGAATCTAATATATTTTTCATTTTCCAGTGTTCGAAGCGTGATGCACAAGTATTTAGAGAAAAAAAATGAGGTTAATTTTGATAAGATCTTCAATCAAGTTTTAGGTAAGTAATAGGATAAATTGCATTTGTAAGTAGTTTTCTAGCATTCTTCATGTTTTCTGACATTGAAGAGGATTTGCCTATGTTTGTAATGTGTATGTTATATTTATTTCTAAAATAATTCCATGTAAAAGAATTTCTTTATTATACTGGACATTTCACTTATCTACTATCTTAATTCATAATTTAATTGTGTATTCTTTTATACATTTCAAGCAATGTCAAGCTTTTTTTATTTTAATGGAAATAAAATAAAATAATCATAGTAAATTAATACTTCAGTTTAATCACAAGTGCTTAGATTAAACATTTTAAACGTGATTTATTTATTGTTAAGAAGGGAGAAGGTTTTTTTTTCTATTTTATTTTTTAACTTTGATTATTGACTTGAATGCCGATGTGGGAGAGATTTAAATTAGATAGGGCTGGATCCTTGGTGTAAATTAGTTGATCAAATAAACATTCTAGTAGTATTATCAAAATAGTGTAGGTCTGTGAAGTTTATAGATTGTATTTTTTCCCCTTAAAAATTTAAAAGGAAAGTCGGATTTTTTTTTGTGTTACATCATGTGATAGTTATTAGTGTATCTGACAGATTTATTAGTATTCAGAGATTTTTCAAATACTGAAGATAAAAATCTTTATATTACGGTTATTATTATTATTTTCTCAATTTCTTATAGGCATTAAATTTATTTGGTGAAATGCTATATACAGTTTAATTACTTACAATAATACAAACCAGGGATGCAGATCCTTTCCATGGAGGATAGTGTATGCTTCCCTTCCTAAAAAAATTTATTGCTGTCCTCTTATTAAAAACTATGAAAATATAAGTAGAATTAAAAAATTTGTAGTTTTTTTTCTCCATTGTTCCTTGGTTTGGAAGTCCCTTCAATTAACATCCTGCAAAAATATGGCATCCTCCAAAAATTCATAATACTATAAATATGTATCCCTCTCAGAAATTTGTAACTGTAAAAAATGTTGATAGCACAATTTGTGCCATGCCATTTCTGGACTTTCTACCCTTGGTATAAATATTCTGTAAAGTGTGAAGACCTAATTCTTCATTGGATTTAGGGAATAATATGCTTATTGAGTAGTGATACTGACGACATCGCCTCCTTACATACATTACTCTATCGAGATCCTTCATGGATTGTAGTGATTTTTTTAAATAAGTTATTTGGTTCTGAGAATTAAACTACTGATGGTCATAGGCAATGATGCTACATAACAGTAAAAAGTTATCACTTTCCTATATATCACTAAGTCCAGCCATAAGTATCTCTAAAGCAACACAAATATTGAAATTTAGGGAAGTATTTGATGTAAAAGCTTATGAATCACTTATTTTTATATCTGAAAAGTTGTTTTAATTTTAATAGAATTAATTGTCTAACGTTTTGGTGTCAGTGTTTACTGTTATAGTTCCAAACTAAATTTAAATTATTAAAAAGGATTTTCAAGTTTGATTTTTATTATGATTTTTCTTTTTCCAGGTTTTCTTCTCTTTAAAGACTTTTGTGAAAACATATCAGAAGAAGCGGTTCCTCAGCTTAAGTTCTATGAAGAGGTATGATTTGTTTTGTTTTAAAGATAGAAATTTTAAATAAACATATTTATTTTAGAAATTCATTCACATGAAGATCGATCAAAAACATCTAGTGCAGTGCCTGCATCACTTCTATTCAAGCACCCTACTTTGAATATAGGTATATCTGCATTAGGTACTTGGGTTGGTTGGTTTTTTTTTTATGCTTTAGGCACAATACATCTAGGTCAGTACTCCCCGATTAATAAAATAATAGTACTATTAAAATATTTAGCTGGTAGGAATATCATATTTAGGGAAGAAATTAAAGTAAAAATTATACACTGTACAACATATTTAAAAAAATTAATTACCATATTTTGTTTTGCACGCATCTAATTAATGTGTTTTTTGTCCCTGCTCCCCTTTTGTCCCTAACTTTCTTTTGTCTATATTCTTAATTTTCTTAGTCCGATTTGTTTTAATTTTTTCCAGGTGGTCTCACTGCTCTGGGTATTTAAGAAGATTAGGTTTTCCAAAATTCTTTGTTTAATCCATTTAATATACATTTCAGGCCATCCCTGTTATTCCTATTGGTTGTTTTCACTGCTGACCTGGAGGGGAAAGTTCCATTTCTCATAAAAAGAAATATAAAACCGTATTAAAATAATTAATTTTAGCCTATCAATAAAACAACTGTATTAGAGAAATATTAAATTAAATAAAATTCAAATATTACATAATTGAAAATAGCTTAAGAAATAAATATAATTTTTTTTAGGATGGGAGATGACATGATTGCCCAGGGGACACCGAATGTCTAAGACACAACATTTTTACTTTCCTAGCTATACTAGGTAAGGAAAGTATTAAAATCGGGTTAAATTTCCAATATGTGGTTTTCGATGGATCTATACGTTTCAGAGCCCCCTGAGTCCGAAAAACACATTTTTAGCCATTGGTCTGTCTGCCTGTGCCAAGATTTTCTCTGGAATTGGTGAACCGTTTTTGTTGCTTCTTTTTTGATTTTGTAGGGTTTTGAAAATTGATGCTTGTGACACAAATTGGGTGCTCCATGCGCAATAGTGGCTGCACAATAAATGAAAAACATGTTTTTCTATAGACTGTAGCACAAAAATGGCTCTAACAATTTTGCTGAAACTTTCCTATAATGTTCTAATAATTGTCCTTTCAATTTTTGTACTGGTACTAAATTCCCGAGAAAATTCAGGAAAAAAGTTTTAAAGAAAAGAAAAATGTTTTGGGCCCTAACTCGCTAAGTATATATTGTATGGTGAAATTTATAATAAAACTTTTCAAAGGTAATTAAATTACCATCAAAACAAAACAAAAAATCATTGGAATCGAACCAGTATTAGCGATGATATAGCGTGTTCTATTTTCTACTCATGTTTTAATTTATTACTTTCTACCTATACTAGGTAAGGAAAGTATTGCGATTGGGTCAAATTTTCAATATGTGGTTTTCAACGGACCTAAACGGTTCAGAGCCCCTGAAAAACCGTTTAGCCTGTTTTTTTTAAAGGTAATGGAATTCCCTGCAAAACTATATCAAATTTAGTTAAACTATATGATAAGTTACAGCTATTAAATTTCCAATGTAAGATTATGGGTTCCTATTCTGTTGTCGGAAAGGGGTGAATGAGAGAGAAAAAAAATAACTTAGCAAAAGTAAGAAAATCTGTTGCCTGCATCACACAAGCTTCGCTATTTTTTCCACTTTTAACAGAAATTATTGTGTGACAAAATTAGGCTATGGCAAAAAGTTTTTGATCAGCAATATTAGAGGATATTGAAATTTTTACACTGATCTGTCTTAAACCATTTTACATTGCTTTAGTTTATTTAATAAATTGTACTGAAATCTTTTCTTTGATCAATTTTCAAGAAAGTTAATTAATTTAATTTAACTTTTTTTTTCTTTTTTTTCCTATGAATGGACATATGTAAAGATATAAAAACTTTTCTGAAATAGGTAGGAAAGTCGTGTGTGTGGACACCAGATTTTTTATTATTAATTTTAGTAATATTTTTTGTGGGAAAATTTATAGTTTTATTCACAGTTCTATATTTCAACACTGCAGTCACCTACTCTGGAATCAACTTACTCACTATCTTTACAGATATTATAAATTTTACATCTAGAAATATCTAAAATGTTAAAATTGGAATTAGTCATTCTGTCAACTGAATTCAGGCCCTCTGGTGGCATTTCTAACTAGAGGACATTATGTGTAAGCCCCTTCCTTTTGATTGTGTTGTAACTGTAAATAATTTAATTTTCTTTCAGATAAAGGAATATGAGAAACTAGACAATCCCGAAGACCGGAGGAAATCTGCTCGTCAGATATATGATAAATTTATCATGAAGGAGCTTTTAGCTCGTGCCCATGTAAGTTTTCAATATTGTGTCAGTTAAAAAAGGATGATTCAATAGTTTACCTATACTGTGTGATATTTAATTTTTATATTTTCACAGTTTTAAAAATCAATATTCTATTTCAATATATTTTTAACATCTGATGTATTATTTTACTTTAAGGATTATCCTAAAGATGCTGTAGCTCATGTGCAAAAGTATTTAACTAAAAATGAAGTTCCGGTCAACCTATTTGAGGTGAAATATTATTTGCTTATAATTTTTTTTTTTTGTTATTATTTCCCAAAGCTTGTTCATACTAATCTATTAATAATTGCAGCCATACATACAAGAAATTTTCAACCATCTAAGAGGAGAACCATTTCGAAAGTTTCTTGAAAGGTAATATTTTTTTTTTTTAAATCACCAAAGACTATTTTTTTCCAATTTTATGTTTATGAATTGATATAATTCATGTTTATGAATTAATATTTACCATTTTCATTCATATAGCGAAAAATACACAAGATTCTGCCAATGGAAGAATTTAGAACTAAATATTCAAGTAAGTAAGAATTGTTGATCTATCGTTGTATTGTTGGATTACAAATGATTAAAGTGATGTAGCCGAAGCATGTATGGCATGACTAGTGTAGCTTATTTGGGTACTTCACAACTTTGTTTATAGAAGTATGTATAACTTATTTTATGTATTTAGCCTAACCTGTTGTATTCTAGTTAAAAAAATTGTTTAGGATCCGCTTGGAATAATATTAATAAATATGATTGTAATATGTTACAGCTAGTCATTTTTTTTTTTCATACCTGTACATGTAGGGCTGTCAGGATTAGACTATCCTGTTGGTTACCTAGCAATTTTAGCCTGAGGGACCATTTTATGTTGAGAGACTGTTATTTCCTTTATACTCATTAATTTTTAACTTGAATATAAATTAAAATCTAATTGGATTTAAAAGACTCCCTTGGCACCGGGACGCGAACTCTTGAATAATTTTTATATCATTTGAGTCATATATCTGGTTGCCAGGTACCCCGCCCACTAAAGGATTGGATGACTTAAAAGAGGAAGGATGCCAGGTCTTACGTTGGTAGGAAGGATAAAGCCACTTCAACTCTGGAAAAAAAATGGGAAACAGGGGCATTCCTTGGAATCCCGAAAATGAATCGTACAAAGCTATTCATCAAATGTTTTAGTTTCGCCTCGAGATCCCCAGAGGCGCCCCCATATACCGTACAGCAATAGTCAAAGTAGGGAAAAAGTAAGGAAGTGATTTGGAGCCTACGGGTTTCAAGGCAAAATAGATGATGGGAGTAATTTAGACTTTTTAAGGTGGAAATGGTACTGGTTGATACATGGTTTTTCCAGGAAAGCGTTTGATCAAAGGTTATTCCAAGGTTTTTAACGGAGGGATAAAATTTGATAGGATTATCATGTAGGAACAGAGTTGGAATATTAAGAACAGTTTTAAGGAGGTGATCGGATATTAAGATTGCCTTGGTCTTTTCTGCATTCAACTTCAACTTTTTAGCTCTCGCCCAGTCACAAGTCCTATCCAAGTCTTCTTGAAGTTTTTGCGTGGCTGATAATAGGTCAGAGGGTGGGAATGACAGGTAGATTTGGAAATTATCTGCATAGATATGGTATTGGGAGTGATGGATCAGGAGGGAAAGGTAATGCAACTATTGAAGTAGATCATATGATGCATGTCCTGAAATATCTTGAGTCATTAAATAATGTGGAACTGTTTTATTGAAGTGGCTTGTTTTTAAGGTAGTGGGCAATACCAGAGAAATTGTACATTAACATACAGCCTTGCATCTTAGTTTTAATGGATACAGTTGTTACTTCATATTAGGTGATACAAAGTTTTTACGAGAATACTGAAAATGAAAAGGAATGTTATTAACACACTCCTCAAGAGAGATCCTCTTGGTTCTCCCTAGTGATTCCACTGGTCTTCAGGTGAGGTCCAGGCTTCTTGGGTTTCCCTATTTGTTCAATTGAGCCTTCCGTGGTAGGGTTTGTTTGCTTTTACTCCCAGTACTGACATAACTTCATTTAAGACTGGTAGCTAAGTGTGTCAGAGCTTTGCCCAGTATAACATTCTCGAATGTAGTAGTGCCTGTTCGAATCCAGTTTGGACAGGTGAACTTTATTTCTTGGTGGACTCATGGATTGAAACTCTACCTTCCGACTCTGGTTAGAATAAATTTGGTTGTACTTCTAGTAAGTTATACTGATATTGTACAGAAAGAGACATAGGTATAATTTCTGAAACTTATTTTTAACTAGTATTTCTTAAAATTTACCTACTCCAGCTCTATTCTGTGGTCGATTCCTTAGTGTGCCAGAAGAGGATTAATTATTCTTTCTGATACTAAAGATTTTGGGTTTGTTCACGTTTAGTTGCCATATTAGAGAAATATTTATTGAAGTCTGAATGAATGAATGAATTGGCTATTTCAATAAAAAGTACTCTTATTATTTAATATGGTTGTTTTGTATAATTGTCTTAATGATCCCATATTAAATTATCCTTTCATTTTTATCAATCATTTAATCTATAAAATTATTTCTGTTTTTCAAGAAATTGCTAGGTATAAACTGATATTTTTACTTGAAAAAATCAAATAATATTACCATTAGTCAATTGTTATAATAAGAATGTTGAATTTGCCTCAAATATGATAAAATACTCAGTTTTTTTTTTTCATCCATTGGTGGCTATTAAGTTTTTAGAACGGTCTAGAACTGTTGAAAGAAAGACATTTTTTCAAAGTCGGAAAAGCAAAATAGCAAAAAAAGATCTATTTTTAGTCCAAAATGGAAAACAAGTATGTTTTAGTGCTAAATTACATAAAAATATCTATTTAAGTGCAAATGAGATAAAAAAAAGATTCTATATGATGTATTTTAAATCTAGCTGCTTCCAGAGCCAAAATATTAAATACAAGTTCTACAGTATCAAAGATTATTTGATTGAAGAAGGCACTCCTTCTCCATTCTGAACAGATTTTCAATAGTGATAAAGCTAATTTTTGGCATTTTTGAAGATGGGAAAATTTTTTTTTTTTTATAAATTTTCATATGAAAAGTGTATATGAAGAATATCGTAGAATAACAAGGAGAGCTATAATTTTGTTGTTTACCTTTTTTTTTTTTTTTTTTTTTTTTTTTTTTTTTTTTTTTTTTTTTTTTTTTTTTTTTTGTAATTCGTTGGTATTTTATACCTAATTATACTTTCCCACAGAAATCTTGATGCTAGTCCCTAAAAATTGTAGTTGTTGGATGTTCTCAAAAAGAGCATATAAAGGCTGAAAAATACATTAATATGTATACATTACAATTTTTATTTCTTTCCTAGACAACAAGGAAAACACAAAGACCATTATCCTTTATGTCAAATTGCATAATAGTAACATGACTTATATTAGTGATTAGTTAAGCAAAGAAAATATATATTAATTACTCTTCATTCCAAATCATACATATTCTACAATCACCAGTTGTTATCCATGTTTCTCCAATCATTCAAGGAAAGATAAATAAATTTTCTGCATGGAAAAGTGAAATTCTAGGTGAATTATAACTAAGAGCTTGTGAAACAATTTTTGTAAACTATTTTTCATTTGAATCTGCTATCAGATATTTTAAAAATTAATTAAAAACTTATATCCGTCAGATTCTTTTGCAATTGATGTTTAGAAAATATTTTAAACATTTCAATAAAAACAACAAAGAGTAAAAAATGCCCATACATTCTATCTATTTTGGAATATTTACAGTTCCTAATTGTGTTTCGATTTTGTCTTGGTGTTCCCACCTAGCTGTGTAATAATTATTTCTGCATAATGTCATTGAAGTTGTTTCATTATGAAGACTGCCAGAAACTAGTACTTTAGGATTCTGAAAATTAGGAAGGAGGTATTGAAAACTGGTTTGGTACTTCAGGGTGTTGAAAACTGGAAAAATGGTGTCGAAAACTGGTGCATAGAGATTTTTTATGTTTAGTATAAATAAAGAAATAAAAGGCAATATTTCACATTTATATTTATATTTGAGATTTGAGATCCTTACTTAACAGAATCAAAATTGTTTAATTTAATACCCACACGATTTAATATGGAACAAAAACCACTTAAAGTTTCCTGAAGGATGGCGAAAATTAAAAGTAAAGTAGTCATAAATGTCTTTTTTTTTTTTTTAATTTTTGTATTAATTGGTTTGGCTGTTGCATGCATTGATTGTAAATATTTAAAAAAAAAATATCATGATGATATTGTAGATTTATTGATAAATACTCTGGATATAATGTATGTTGTGTTGTAACATATATTTTATTTTCTGAAGAATGACTATAAGAATATGGAATAAATTCAGTTTAGCAGGAGTGGAGTATGAAACATTTCAAAAAATTCTATTTAGATATTTATTTTTTTTCAATGCTCATTAAATTTCTGTGATTTGGTTTCAAAAATCCTAGTTTTAATGGTTTATTAAAATTTATAAATAATTGTGTCCCTTCTTTTAAAACAATTTCTCTAAAAATTATTTTTAATTATTACTTAGTTATTTGTAGATTTTTGAAAGTTGCTCTGAAAGTAGAGGTAATGCTAGTATAATTATATTTCTGAAAATAGTTATGGTGGTATATTGCATAGTTGTTCAGTAATAGGGTACAACTTCATTTTTTGATTTATGGCAATGTTACAATGAAGAAGAAATGCTCTAACAATGAAAACAATCTATACTGATTTCACTTCACAAAAAAGTAACCGAAAACAGATTTTAATAGTTATTGATAAGTCTCCTTCCAAGATGTAAAATATTCATGCTATTAATATCATGAAATATTCAATTTCAACAAGGAGAAAATCATGAAATAAGTCACAGAAGTTATTACAAACTATTAATGTGAATTTCGCTAGATTCGTTCAACCTGTGATCTTGATGGCAAATAGTGGATTAAATGTTAAAATACAAAGGTGTTATTCTCCAATTTTTTTTTTAAAATTGTATAATTCAATTGTCTGTCAGAAGCTGTAAGATATCTAAGAAGTTAGTCAATCTTATGTGGATGAGCATGCTGGATCAATAATTTCGAAAAGTTTGAAGTATTATTGGAAAGGTAAATAGTTCCAAGAAAGGCTTAATTCTGGGTGGTAAAATATCTATGTCTGTGGATTTCCTGATGATTTGGTACTGTTAGGTGAAGGTGTAGAAACTATTAAAGTAAATACAGCATTGAAGAAAGCCAGTAAAGAATTGGGTGTCAAAAGAAATAAGTACAGTAAAACTTCTCAGTAGCAGATACTTGTGAGGAATAAAATTTTGTCCGCCATAGAGTAATGTCTGTTTCAGAGAAACTGAAAATAAAACATGATAAAAAATAAAAATTAGTGGATTAAAATTTTATTTTATAAGACATATGTATGAAATCATTCATTCATTTAAAGAACATTTCAATGTGTAAATTTACAATTAATATATATTTTTATGAGAAATAATTTATTTTATAATGTTATATTTTATTGAAATGCACACACGAAGTATAAAATTTAAAATTACTTAAATTAGGCTAGGCATATTAGCAAGAAAAATGTGGGCTCAGAAACAAGTTTTGATTTTCTCATCCTTTATGTTTATGTTTTTTGGGCCGCTGAACACGAATTTGAAGTTTGCTGGTTAAAATTTTGCTCGGATCTTTTTTGGACACTTTTTTTCAGTTTTGGGCTATATCTTAACAAAAAGGAAGCGTTTTTTCGATAAAACCATTTTACACAAAGTTTAAGTAGACAAAACTGCCTACATTTCTTACACAAAACTTTTTTTTTTGCAAGACTAACTGTTTCGCCGCTAGAGCTCGCCTGAAAGGGGCCATATTTTCAAATTGGGAGAAATTTATTGATTATGCAGAAATCGCCCTTGCTGTGATATTTAACTGTTTAACAGTTTATTAAATTATACAATTTATATGATATAAAAGTACATTTTTCATTAATAAAGCTTCTTTTTTTTTTCAAGACTGACCGTTTCGCTGTTAGAGTGGGCCCAACAAGGGCCATATTTCCATATCTGTGAAATTTCCAAAATATAAATAAAAGTTTTGATCGCTCCACTAATTTATTGTGGCAATTTTCTTTATACAAATGGTAAAGTGCTTTCAATCCTTTATTTTATTATGTTATACAATTTATATCATATGATAGCTTGTCCCGAGATTTACCAGTGTAAATAATTAATAATACAATATGCAACTTGATCTTGACATATTTCATAAAATAAATTTACACAGGTAAATTACGTGACAAGCTTATTTATGTTGTATAAATTGCATAATGTAATGAATTGATTTAATTTAAGGTTTATTTTCTCTATGCATTAAAATTCACTCAAAGAAAAAGATAAGTTTAAAAGTTGTTTACTTACATATACTACACTGTGTAAAATAGTTTTGAATGTAAAATAAAATAATATGTACTACAAAAACAACAATAGGTTTATAAGGAATTTGAGATTGATTTTTTTTCTTCTTCAATATACATTTCCAAAATTGGCGGTACACTTTAAGAATTTCGCGGCACAGTGATTCAGAATCACTGGGTTAGTCTTCCAAAGAAAAACATTATTTATAAGAAATTTACTGTTATATAATATAAATTGTATATTGTCAAAAATTTTTGCAACAGTTAAGTATCACAGCAAGGGCGATTTCCACATAAACGGTGAATTTCACATAGCAATTTCATATAGTAAGCTACATAGCAAACTGTTTCACTAAGAGATAGTCCACTGGGTTCGGATGGAATCCTAGAGGTCCCCGCTACTGAATAGCGATCACTTTTGAATTAAATCAGGAAACCCAGAAGATTCAACAAAGAAAAACAGATTCGGTTGGTTTTATAGTGGACGTAGTCTCTTCTCTATTAAGATTACCTGCACTAGTAGATTTTTAAATTTCTTCTCATATGCTGATATACTCTGTAAAACATATAAAATAACATTATAACATAGAATCTTGACAATTTGATAACTTGGTTTCCACTAATTATGTCAATATTGAATTACTTGCGCTGAAGATAAATAATGCTATTCATAATTCTTCATAATTGATATGGAAATATGGCCCCTCTTGGGGGCGCTCGAGTGGCGAAATGGTTGTTTTGTATAAGAAATGTAGGCAATTTTGTCTACTTTAATTTCGTATAGAATAGGTTTGTCGAAAAAACGCTTCCTTTTTTAGATATAGGCTGAAAACTGAAAAATGTGCTAACATTTGGTCAAAAAGTGTCCAAAAAAAACAAAGTTCCGGGCAAAATTTTTGCCAGCAAACTTCAAATTTGTGTTCAGCGACCCAAATAAACATAAAGGGTGAGAAACCAAAACTATAGCAAAACTTGTTTCTGAAAATCCTAATATGCCTAGCCTAAAATTAGTAATCTCTTAATTTTTGTTGCTTTGGTAGTTCAAATCCAGTATAATTTCTTCACTTTATACCTTCAAAATGACAATTTTTTTCAGTCTACTAATTTGTAATAGAGCTCTTCTATGCCTTCATTAATAGTTTTTATTTTACAGATCCTCTATTTCTGAATTGTATAATGAAATAACTTATCATGGATATTTAATGAACTATTATACAACCCTTTAATAATTCCTGGCCAAACTAAGTTCACACGGAAATCTCAGGGACCACGAAAAGTTATTATCAACTAATAGGTGCAGTGCGATTGTTTATATGGTTGTGCGAGTGTTGGGGTGTTAAGATAGGTGCTCGGAAAAGTCAATCACATTTTATCTGATCTGCATTAGATTGATTTTTTTAAATATAAGTAAAATCTAAAGTCTTAGGATCTTTTTTCATTATCATTTTTGTAGTGGGTCCATCTTCTCTTTTAAAGTTATTTAGATGCTAGTCTACAATAAAATCTGTTGGAGAACTAACAACAAAACATTCAAACTGTAGCTCAACTAAGATATTATAAATTGGACAAACTTTCTTGGAACATATGCCTTAGTGAATTCCTATTGTCATAGAGAACATCTGTTATGCAGAAATAATTTATTCTGAACAATTGCTGATATTAGATTGGTTTTTTAGATTATTTGTCGGCGATAAAGGAAAGTCTGCTATGGAAATTAATATAAATTAATAATATAAGAAATTAATTGTGTCTTTTGAATGAGTCTTGAAAAAAAAAATTAAATTTATATCTCTATTCAAACTTACCTTATTGTTATTATTAAATTTAACTCTATGTTATTTCAATTTTCATGTTGATAGAGAATTAGTGTTTGTTAAGCGAAGAGCAGTTGTGAATTATCTTTAAGTGTTATTTTTCAAAACGGATTGAGATAGCTCAGGGAGTAAGAGACTGATTTGTTGTTCTTAAGAACCCAGGTTTGAGTTTGGCTTTTGCAGTGTGGCTCTCAATGTATTTTCTGTAATAACTTAATTATAAACATAGTTACGATGCAATATGGAATATATGTATGCGTAAATATATATATATATATATATATATATATATATATATATATATATATATATATATATATATATATATAGAATTAACAGTTATAATTATAACTATCCCTTAAATGAATATATATTTATCACAGCAATTTATAGTAGAATAATTTATTTTTTAGCTTACAATGAATGACTTCAGTGTTCACCGGATCATTGGTCGAGGTGGGTTTGGTGAGGTCTACGGGTGCAGGAAGGCAGACACTGGCAAAATGTACGCTATGAAATGCCTTGATAAGAAAAGGATCAAGATGAAACAAGGAGAGACATTAGCACTCAATGAAAGGATAATGCTGTCTCTTGTCAGCACAGGGGTAGGTTTGCTTTTTAATTGTTTTCTTTTATACTTATTTAAAAAATGAAAATTGAATTATAAAGTATGCTTTTTTATTTCAATCTCAGAATCTAAAGAATAGTTTTAAGGGTGCACATTATCTTTTTACCTGTTAGCTATTTTTTATATTAGATCAAGATTTATTTTATTACTGACTTTATGTGGTTATTCATAATGAATTCCTATTTCCTTTTTCTTATTAAATATGAATTTATGTGTTTTTTTTTTAAATAAACATTATCCAATTTTAATGAAAATTAACTGTTTTTTTTTTTTTCAATTTTTGGTGAAACTAATAAAGTAATTTTTTCTATTGACTGTGATTATGAACCAATCTAGTTAAAGTTAGCAGTAAACCTTGTTGCAGGTTGATTGCCCTTTCATTGTGTGTATGACATATGCCTTTCACACACCCGATAAGCTCTGCTTCATACTAGATCTTATGAATGGTGGTGACTTGCACTATCATCTTTCTCAACACGGAGTCTTCAATGAAATAGAAATGAAATTCTATGCAGCCGAAGTCATTCTTGGTAAGTATTGATCATTATTAGATAACATAAGATTGAAGAGAAAAAGGAGGTAATTTTTAATTTTTCATAAATATTATGAACAAGGTTTATTTTACCTTATATCTATTCACATCGTTAGTGAGGGTAAAAAGTTTAAACAAAGAGGATTACAAAACAGCTTTATTTATTTTTCAAGTTAGTTTATTGAAATGTTTCCCCTATGACATTATCTTTCGTCATTAATAATTTTCTTTATTAAAAACTTTTTGTATCACATTTGACAAGTAGACATTTTTTACCACCATTGTGAGATAATTGTAATATTTTTCACTGTACACCTTTATGCTTATATATGTAATTAGCTATTCAGTTTGTGCTCTTTAATAATATTATGAGTTCCTATATGCATCAATAATTCCATACCAATAAAATTAACATAAGTAAACAGTAAAATATTATTTAATCAAATGAAAATATATTTATAATGATGTAGAGATGGTTGGCCGTGATATAATATGAGAAGGAGTTGGTCGGGGAGAGGGAGGGATGCGGTCAAATAAATACTAAATTTATTTGACCGTACACTCCGACCAACTCATTGTCAGATAATATATTTATATATTCAAAATTGAACTTCAGCATCAGAAAACCTAAAAGACTTTTTTTGTTTTTCCGTCTCAAGACTTCCATTGAAGTTCTGTTAAAAGACTGTAAGGTTGTTACTTCTCTAAACTACAGGCAATGTTAATTTAGTATTGTACTCAGTTCTTATATAATTTGCTTTGATAATATTTTTTCCCAATGAAAAAAAAAGGTTCCATTCCAATTAACCTTAGAATACAATAGTATTGTTCCATTGAATTAAAACCATTATTTTCTCCTGCTTTATGACTGTTATTAAATTTAGTGATGGAACTGCTTCTCCATTTACTTGTCACTCAATGTTAGATTCTAGAGGTAAATCTTTTAATAAATGCGAGCCAGAAAATATTAATATAAAATATATTAAGTATTAACCAGAAAATTCTGTAGTCTTGTTGTTGCTTGTATGGACAATGCTCTGCTTAGAATAATACCACTGGCAAGAATATTGTTTTAAAGATCACTTAACAATTTACTAATAATCAATTCTCAATGAACTCCTACTAAATTATCTAAAATATATTTATTATACATAATTTTATATGAATATGTTTTATTGTTTATTTATATGGAAAAAGTTAAAATAAATTAAAATTTTAAATTTAAATTGTGTATGTGTAGGGTTAGAGCATATGCATCGAAGGTATATAGTCTATCGAGATTTAAAGCCAGCTAATATCCTCCTGGATGAACATGGCCATGTCAGGATCTCTGACCTGGGATTAGCATGTGATTTTAGCAAGAAGAAACCACATGCTAGTGTGTAAGTAGACTATAATTTTAAAACTTTTTTTCCTCATTATCTTTTTATATTTTTATTTTCTTTTTTTAAAAAATAGATTAAATAAAATTTAATGTAAAAAAAAAAAACAATCTGCAAGGCTTGTTTGTTTAAAAATTTAAACATTTTGACTGATAATCAAATTCAAGCATATTTATTTGACAATTATTTTTTTTTTTTATAATATGGGTGATAAATATTCAGGACTGAGTAATTATAAAGTTTTTATTGGTGCCGACATTTCAACCCAAACATGTGGGTCATCATCAGGGTGTGTTTCGAACACTGACGGTATTCAAGTAATGCGTTGGCACCAATAAAACCTTTATAATAACTGTGTCCTGAATATTTATCACCCATGATGCATTGAACAGTCGATAAAGTTCCTTCAATAATTTTTTAATAATAGTTCATATGCAGGATAATACTGGCGTAGTAGACTAACTTTTTAACTTCCATTTCTTATGCGGGGTGATCCTGAAGTAGTAGGCTAACTTTTTAATTTAAATTGTTGCAACAAAATAAATTCAAATGTATATTTTGTATTTTTTTTTTTTTTTTTTTATGAATAATTGAAAAAACATTTTGATATATCTTCCTTGTGAGGCCTTGCACCAACAATATTTTTTTTATTGGTTGTCATTTTGTTTCTTCTTAGCCCTGATGAACACATGACTCCTTAGTTTGTTATTATCTCATCTATGACCGCATACCCAACTAACTGTCCCTATAATTTGCTCTACAGTCAATTATATCTCTGCCACCAATAATTTTTTATTTTTGACTGTTTATTTGTTTGTGGAAATGTTACGAAGTGGAATGTAGGTATACTATTATCTTCTCAATTGATTTATATAAAACAATAATAAACATACATGAATAATCAAGAATGAGGAGGTTTTGCCATAAGTTTTGAAAAATTTCACAAAATATGCACAAAGGTTTCTTATTCCTTAATATAATAATAATTCTTGTTCAACAACCATTAGTAAACTACTGTGGATCCAAGGTCATATTTATGTTTGATTAAATAATTATATGTGAATAAGCAGTTGAAATTATTACTAAGCCACTCCAAATGCCTTTTGTCATACAATTAAAAATTTATCTTATGTAATAAGTACCAAATGACCATTGAAATATAGTACATTGAATGTAAGCGGCTTTGACTCTGTTCATAATTTTAGGGGAATTTTCAAAAAATGACTTAACATGATAGCTTATTTCTTAAAGGATATAATACTATATCTTAAAAGTACTATACACATTTAAAGTAACTTGGTTTATAGGACTGATTATCAATTTCAACAATTCACAAGTATTGAATTATATTATATAAATTCATAAGTGAATTTATTATTATAAATTTTAGATTGATAAATAAATTTTATAGCTTAATGCTGTTTTATACCTAACAATCAAATATTTGTTATAATTAGGAAAAAGTGAGTTAATAAAATTATTTTTATTTTATGTGTACCCCACTACACCACAACAAGGTTAACAGATTTAGAAATACCATAAATGTTATGTTTGTTTAAATTCCACCTGTAAAAGCCTCTACAAGGCATGTTAATAATACATAAAAAGAAATGATTCTTTGAAGTATCAGTTTCTTATTTTTATGGTACTTGTTGGAAATTGAATGAATATAAAATACTGATCTTATTCATTTTGATCCCATCGGGATTCTTATATATTCCCTTGTTTTTATTGACTGGATATTTTTCTAGTTCATAAAAAAATAGAAAGAAATGATATAGAACCATAATATTTTGTTTCATATCAGGGGAACCCATGGCTATATGGCTCCAGAAGTGCTGTCTAAAGGCACTGCATACGACTCAAGTGCTGATTGGTTCTCTTTTGGGTGTATGCTCTACAAATTGTTGAAGGGGCACAGTCCTTTTCGGCAGCATAAAACCAAGGACAAACATGAGATAGATCGCATGACACTTACAATGGTAATATTTTTTTATTATTCGCCATAGGCTAATGAGATTATTATAAAAATATGTTAATCATCTGTAATAATATTGAAGTTAGTTATATGTTGTTTAATGATCTTTTGTCTTTCTCAATTTATAGAAAATGATCAATGAATAACATCATTAGTAATTCATTACTTCTGTGATCCACTGTTTAAATTCACTATATTATTCTGATTGCTTGCTATGGATTGTTTCAAGTTTTTTATTTTTGTCCTAAAACCATATTTGTTAATAATAAAGATCTTATTAAAAATCTGAGTGAGGTGTTAGGGAAGACCCTGTGCTCTCGGTCCTGGATTCTAAGTTCCGATGTGGCAAGTATTATTTATTCTGTTCAGCCAGCTGTGTATCAGGAGACTCCCATTGGGTATACTGGTCCTGGTATTGCTACTGGTGGAGGAACTACTGCTGCCAGTGGATCATATCAAGATCCTTTTAGCCAAACCCTGACGGCTACCTTGAGATTGCTGTCGTGTACTTACTAGAGTAGGAATGTCCCTTTAGGACTTTAGGACCAAGGTGACCGAACGAGTCATGCCGAACCGGAAACTAACGCATGTGCTGTGCATAGCACCGCGAGTTGCCCGGCAACCAGATAACCGAAGTTATGAAAGATTAAAAAAGGCCTTATCCTCCAACCCAGAAAAACCGGGGAAAAGGTAGGGAAAGAATATGATTAAATAATAAAAAGTTCGCATTCCGGTACTAAGGGAGGCTTTTAACTCTAGCATTGATTCCTCACATTCACCCCCTGACCCGGGATACCCCCATATAGCAATATAGGCTAGGAAGGGAGGACAAAAAAGTCACGATCTGTTTCCCAGGGCCAACGAGAAGTAAAAAGTAACCGGCCCAGATGGGAATCAAACCCGAACCGGGCATTGTGGGACTCATTTCACAATGTGCTTGGCCATCCCTGCTAGGGTATACCCAGCCTTTATGAAGTTAATACTTTTGATTAAGTAAATAAATGAAAGGAACCAGGCAGTTGATTGTGATTTCAGTAAAGTCACCACCTTGCATTACTTTTGATCTAGAAGGAGTACTTTGTTACAAGGCACTGAACACCAGAACCTCCACTGATTATAGTGGTATACGTTAAGGGATCTTCTGGGTTTCCAGTACCTAAAGGAGTTGAGGTACTAGAGACAAATTTGCTAGGTCTCTTTCGTTTATTTGCTAAAATAGTCGTGCTTGTTTCAATATACCTAATAGGAATATAGTTTTCATGTATTTTATGAAGTTAAACAGCATATATTAAATTGGTACATTGGTAATTTCTATGGAAAGTGGACATAAAGTACCATAAACTGTGTTGTATTCGGAATTTGACCCCTTATCCATGTGATCTATCGGCTTAAAAGTTGATCATAGAAAAAAACTTTGCAAACATAAAATTTAGAAAATTTTGTCTATTTTTAATTTTTGTAAAAAGCAATTTCCTCACAATAAAATATTGTTAGGTATTAAAGTATTGTCAGCAAACCTAATTTTTTATCTTCAATTTTCTCTTATCTGTCCTCGTGTAACTGAATCAATAGTTATTGTGCATTGGTTGTACTCTCTTTTTTGGGACAAAAAAACAAAAAATCTTTGATACACAACATTGTTTTTAAAGTGGATTCCCTGTACATCTAAGCCTACCGGTTTGGATGGATCTCATAATATCTGACTCTAAGAATATGATTTTCTATTACTATGTTTCCTGCCATAGATTGTGTTCTGGGTGACTGTAGTAATCTAATTGCTACTGATAAGACTAGATCTGCTTGCTGCGGGTAGAGATCGTTGTTCGCATTCTTTAGAATAAATTTTTAGTCAGCACTGAGTTCCTGATTACTCCTCAGCCTCTAGTTTTTGTTTACTTTTGAAATATCTTATTATAAATGGTTCAGATTAATTGTCTGTCATTCAGTTCATGACAACTGTCATATAAAAGATTTTTTATTATTTTATAAAAAGAATATTTTACTGGTGCCTCATGATATTTTGAAAATCTTTCATCTTTATTCGAAACAGTCATTTGATATGTTGCAGAATGTAGAGCTGCCAGATTCCTTCTCAAACGATCTCAGGGATCTTTTGGAAAGGCTTCTTCAGCGTGATATAGATAAGAGACTAGGCTGTGGTGGTAGAGGGTAAGCGTTAGAACAGCAACTCTAGTTTTATCTTAAATCCTGTCATTGTAATACAAAAAGATTAGCTTGTTAATTAAATAAAATATCTACATCATTCTGTGGTGTATCCCATTTATTTTTAATAAATTCAAATTTCTTATATTGGTGTTGCTTGTATAGGGCTGATGAAGTGAAAGAGCACTCGTTCTTTGATGGTGTGGACTGGCAGCAGGTCTATGTTCAGAAGTACCCCCCACCACTTATACCTCCCAGAGGAGAGGTCAACGCTGCTGATGCTTTTGACATCGGATCATTTGATGAAGAAGATACCAAAGGCATTAAGGTATAGTAGTTTGCTATGTTGTTACTTCTATCTAATACATGTCATTCCTACAAGTATCAACTTTTTTTCTGCCACTTTAATTTTTCAAATTGAAATTTTTAAATTAAAATTTTAGTGCGAGTATAAATAGGTCTGATACTGTTTCTGATAGTTCACATGATGTGGGTTATGAGATTTGGGGTAGTTTATTTTCATATTTTATTCTTTATTTCCAGCTCAGATTTGTGAGCCTTAAATAAGTATTTCAACAATTAATATTTTTAACAGTTTGACAGGATAGTTAGGTTGTACAAGAGGATCTCTTGTATGAGCCTCTACACTTGCTCTTAAATTAACACCATTGTTTCTTAAATTGTTTATGGTCATGGAATAATTTTAAATTAAAAAAAATTAGTAAAATAAAAGTGATTGGGAAAAAATGAAATAGTAATAGGTAATGGATTAAGAAAAATCAATTATTTTAATTTGGGTTTAATGAATTTATTTCTTTGAGCCTGATAAAATGGCTCATACAGCTACTTGATGCCTTTATTCATAGTAATAATTAAACTTTTACAAAAATTTCCCTTATCGCTTCTTAAATTTTGCTTATTACCCTTTGTATATATTATTCATATTTAATGATGGCTAGTTTACTTTTTGTAAGTTTTTGGTTGATAAATAAGAAAATAATTATTTATTTCTGCCTTTGTGTTATAGAAAATTATTATGTGTGAAAGAGACATAAAGTTTATATTTAGGAAATAAGTAAATAATTTATATTTTATGAAATGAAGTTAGTATGACAGAAATAGACAAATGTACAGTAATATTGAATAGTTTTTACTTATTTTTTAATTTATATTTTTCAATTGCTATGATGTAGTTAACAGAAGCAGATCAGGAGCTGTATAAAAATTTCCCATTAGTGATATCAGAGAGATGGCAAGGTGAGGTTGCAGAAACTGTCTTCGAAACTATTAATCAGGAAGCTGACAGGTTAGAACAAAAGAAAAAGGCTAAGCAAAAGCAGCGGTTTGACACAGATGAGAAAGGTAAAAGTTTTTTTTTTTTTTTGTATTTATTGTGCAATATGTGCACTTTTCTCTCACATTTTGGATTTCTTACACAATTGGAGCATCCAAAATTGATATAATATACAGATTGTTTTAGGATTAAGGGCCCCAACTAAAAATATGAATTAAGGATCTCAAAACAAGAAAAAAGTTCTTATGAAGATACGTCCATTAATAGTTTGTTTAGCTGATATTCATGTCTAAATATTTCACTATTAGGAATTATTTAGTTTGAAGTCCAACTACTTTATTAATGAAATGAAAAATTTCAACATTCGTATTAAATGTTGTTGAATGTGAATATTTTGAGCATTAAGACAGGTGCAGCATCTTTCTTCCACAGCATCAGTGGCCAAACGCCACTAGATATGTGTGATCGTTGTGCAAGTTTCAATTAAATTTCTTCATAAAAAATTGAGGTCATTCACTGGGCTTGCATAGACTTTTTGTTTATGTTTGTTCCTGACATATGTCACCCAAAATAAAAAAATTCAATACTGTAAAAGTGGCACATTCACCATTAGTATAAATGTAAATGCAAGACATAATGATGAGTACTCTGCAAAAACATCAAATAAACTTGTAAATGTTATTGAGAGTTCCCAACACTTATTCCGAACTTTATTAATTTTTTGTCTATATTTTATGTAAACTTAGAGAAACAAAGCCATGTAAGTATTCTATCTTATCTATGTAATATCTCTCAAACAAAGAGTTTACAGACCTTTATAGAAATTTTTTTTCTTGGTTTGAGATCCTTAATCCATATTTTCAGTTAGAGCACTTAACCCTGGAACACTCTGTATAGTGAGTGAGGTATTTAAAATATAGAGGTTGTATTTCAATGATTAGTTGTTACTTGGGATTCTTTTCGAACTCTTATATCGTATAGATTTGATTCATTTATGTTTTGTTATAATTACCACTGTCATCTGATATTAATTTTTTTTTATAATTGCATTAACCAAAATGCCTATATTTCCATCACATATATTACAAACATTGCATATTCATTTCTTCTTCCTAGAATTTTCTTATTGCCTTTTGCTATGTAATTTATTTTTTCTAAAAGTTCTTCAATGCTTTATTATGTCTACGAAATTTCAAGTTTTTTAAAGATTTTGTTGTTGTCATATGCATTAAATTTCTACAAACCAAAGATAAAATTATACTGTCCTATGCAATTAAAGTACTTTGAAGACAATCTTTGCATCGTTGACAAATTTTCATTTGTTTCAAAGTTAGTATAGTGTTTGTTTTGTATTTAATTGTTTATATCTAAATATATGTATATTTTTTATTTAATAATAATAATAAGGCTTAGTGAACCCAAAGGTTCGATGCTGATACCACCAATTCATGACCACGTTCTATATTTTCATTCACTGGGCCTCGTCTAAACCCAAAACCGCCATATCAGCCTTTGTGCAACGTTCCCACCTTGCTTGCCAGTCGGCACAGTGTATATTATCTTTTTGGGAATTGTTTCGTTACTAAGGCCAGTGATTTTATTCACCGCAACTTAATCATCTCAATTATATCAACCTGATACAGTTTGTACAATTCAGCGTTGTGTAAAAACCTAAATTCTCCGGTTGATTCATCCTTCTTCGGTCCGAATATTCTGCATAATAATTTTTTTATTTATATCAATAAATTAGATTTATATATAAATTTATAGTAATAGTTAAATATTCATGTGATAGGTTTATATTATGTATGGCATCTTCACTTTATTAGTGATTTTAAAAGAAGGATTGTAAAAAGGAACTATTGCTCATTCCAATATTAGACTACAGTAACCTAAGAGTGAACTCATGTGGATCTAAGTTTGAAGTTTTGTTGTTCATTTCATCAATCATTAGCCATTGCGAATGATATAGCCATCCTTGGAAGCAATAAATAGGATTTTGAGAGACTCGCTTGAGCTCTGATAAGAGATACACAGTAAATCAGCCTACAAGTAAATAAAAGTAAAACAAAATAAGTTATGGCTGTATAATAACAGAATAAATAACAGAATCTGTGCACATTCTGAGTCATTTCTGAGAGGGGACAGATCAAAATACTGCAGCTCTGTAATAATCTCAATAAACTCTATCTCCTAACAGAGATAGATCAGCTTATTACAAGTGCAAGCAGAGCTTTCTTTTCTTCTCTTTCTCTTAAGGCTATTGAAATAAAAAAATAAAATAAAAAAATTAAGGATGATTAATCCCCAAGACCACTCTGGCCTGCTGAAAAAGTAATGTTGAGATTGTTGTTGAAGTCTGACTGAGCTGGTCCCCTACCATAAGGCACTCTATATGTTGACTCTTCTACTACTGTAAGTAGTTAGAAAAAATATATTAATGTATAATGTGATCATGTTATAATGGTTGGTCATCACTTCATGGTGCATGGCTGTGGCCCTGTGAAAAAAAAAGTTTTGGCCAACCATCTCTTCTTTGGTAGTCCTTTTCTTTTGCCTCTCTATAGACTGATAGTGATTTTTCGCATGTGCTCCTCTGTCTGGTATTCTTTGTAAATCCAAATTATTAAAATGTAATAAACATTTTTTAAATTAAATCGGGAATAGGGAAAAAATAAACATTAGTTTCAGCTTAGTGTTACGTGACTTTGCCTTTAGGCTGCGATTGCAATTATGCATGTTACATGTTTATTAGGTAAAATACATGTTTATTAGGTAAAATTGAATAGTTACATAGGTTTATTATTAGTTTATGACAAATATTTGTGGAAAATGGACATTATCAGTAATACTTCACATAATGGCTTGAGTTATTTTGTAATCAGAATTTATTAATTATTGAATGCCGAAAATAGCTCATTAAGATTAATTTATATCATTCACCTTTAAAAGTCTGGGTAACTTGGATTTTTGTTGGTCATTAAAATCACTACTGTTTTAATTAGGTCATGACTGTTTAACTTATAAGTTTAAGAAGTAAACCAACCACCAAACTTTTGGTAAACCATGCTTATCAATCAAGGTCTGGCTTACCAAGCAGCTTTTATTAGTTATAGACTGTTCTACTTTCATCATTCGATGTACAGTTAGTTATACCTGATTACTGGAGACCATTTGCCAATTTGAGATAACTTAGGAGAAGTATTACTGCATAAGCTCAGATTTTTATTGTTATTATTGATTGAGTAGCTTATTATATAGATTATGGAATAATATAAAAAATGTGTTTATCTTAGAATCTGATTGTATCCTACATGGCTACATAAAGAAGCTGGGTGGCCCCTTTGCTTCTGCTTGGCAAACGCGTTATGCTAAACTTTATCCTAATCGACTGGAGCTTCATCCCGAGTCTGGAAGTACCAAGCCAGAGCTTGTGTTCATGGATCAGGTCGAGGAAGTATCTCCCGATCTTGTCACGGTTAAAGGAGAGCAGTGTATCAACATCAGGACCAGGGAGGCCAAGGTTGTCCTTACAAACTCTGTAAGTGCATATTGTCTAGCTTGATTAGATTTATGAAACTAGCATGAAATTGTAATGTTAATTACTATATTTTTAAGGTTTGTAAATTATTCAACTAGATTTCACTCACCTACTTCCCTCTCCAAATCTAATATCATACACTAAACTTATTTAGTTTTACTTTCATTTACATATATATGTAATACATTGTATGTCTTGAGGTCCCCTTAGTCCAAATAACCAAGTCCCACAAAATGGTGTGTGTATGTGAACAGTCTAGTACAAAAATGTAAAATCATACGAAACTGATACTACCCGTTGAAGTTAGAATATGCCTGGGATATTACAGCAACTTTTTCCTGAAAATCGGCTAACCGGAAGTGCAACTTATAGCATTGATTTAACACATTTTTTTGCAATTTTCTCAAAAACAGCTTTAATGATTTGTATTAAACTCAATATATTAGTGTAAAATTAAACAGTATTTAATATAACGTAAGTCTTATTCTCATTAATGTTTTCTAACAGGGTTTAAATGCCTAATCTTCAAAATTTGTTCCTCTATGTACCTTTAATTTTTTTTTATTTGAAACAATTAACCATTTCATATAGTAACCTGCTATAAATAGATGTGTTAAATATAAAATATGGAAGAATTTGATAATTAACTAAAGGAGAAATAGGAAACCAAAGGATTGTAATAGAGAACCAAAGAAACCCAAGCGCCAAAAGGTTAGAATATGTTTCTATACGTAACATGTGTCGAATAAAACATGTACTTTGATAATATTATATACATATACATGTGAGATTTTCATAAATACTAGCATTACTATTATTTAATATTTAATTGTATTGATCAGAGGTTCCAAATTTCTTGGTTCACAGACCCATTAAGACCTTGACTAAGTTTTGCGTGCCGCATTGAGACCTCCATGGCTTGTGATAAAAAAAAAAAATATATTGTTCTATAAATGAGGTTTCTAAGATTAAAAAAACCCATGCAGTAAATGTTGTAGTAACTCGTGGGTGAGTAATTTTCTAAATTTTACCATGTAATCAAAGAAACTTCTGCAGACCAGATTGAAGATCCTTACATGGGCCGGATGTGGTCCGCAGGCTGCAGTTTGGAGACCTTTGGTATAGATTAAAGCAATATTGAAATTAAAATTTGTATATATACCAATGCTTAAACAAATCAAATTACCTTCAATGAAATATAAATAAATATAGCGCCCTTCTATATCAGTGGCACTTGTTTATTTATAATAATCTAATAAATAACTAAAATATTCAGTCATAAAAGTAATTGGTTAGTGATAAAAAAAGCTTAAATATAATACACTTGACGGCTGTGAAAAACATATGGTAATTAATTGTTTTATTGCTTTCACTTCCCTTTGAAAATATCTATTTCTGCTTTAAAAAGGGAAAAAGTGAAAGTTGTGTGATCCTTGCACCACACCAGATTTTTTTCCCTTCTACCTGGCCATTTTTGGAAAATGGAGTAGTTATTCTACAGGTAATCAACCTAGTCCAGCCAAAGTGGAAAAGTTAAGATTTATGCCATGAAATAAATTTCCACCTGCCCAGGCCATAATTAAACTGGTACTGCTTCTGACTTGTGTTTGTTGTAATGACTTAACTCATTCATCGTGGCCTCTGTCTTGCACTCATCATAACTTTTGATCCGGCTAATTTAACTATATTTATAACAAAACTAGAATGTATCAACAAATTACCTGGCTTTTATATTGTCTGTTAGTATGAGAGAAATCATCAAAATCCATAATAATCAAAAACTTAAGAATTGAAATGCTCTTCAAAGTTTGAGCTCTCTGATGGCTTTTCAACTTTTCGTATATTAACGATTAACCCAAGCTTAATATTAATTTTGATGCACTTTCAATTTAATTCAAGCTTATGCAGAGTCGTAATATGCTAGTAGGCAAAACGATGTTGGATGTCGGACTTTAAAGTGCATTTTGGTCCTTAATTTTTTTTTGATACTTGTTATAGATAGTTAAAGTCTCTCATGCCAACAGAATATATTAAAGCTATGTAATTTGTTTATATATTCTAGTTTTGTTATAAATATAGTTAAATTAGCCGAATCAAAAGCAGATCGGCAGATTCACGAGTGAAATGCTCCTTCGATTCCATGTGCTTTAACAGCTGCTTAATCTTCTCACATATTAAAAACATAAATAACCGAAGAGAAGCTGTCTATTTGAATTTTTTTTTTTTTTCACAACATCCCGTTACCGAGACTGGGCCTCCTCCAAGAGCCTCCGCCAGTTGGCTCTGTCTTCTGCTGCAGCTCTCCAGTTCCGTACACCAAGCAGGGTTCTCGCATCATAGGCCACGTTGTCCAACCATCTCGTCCTCGGCCTTCCTACCCGTCTTACGAGGTGCAGCTCCTCCATCATTATTTTTTTTGGTATTTCAACGGTGCTCATTCTGTGACTACGTCGATGTCTGCATAGAGAGAACTGAGCTCCCTATTTTTTCTTTTCCTCCAGACATCACCCTCCTTTACTGGACTATAAATCCTTCTGAGGACTCCTCGCTCAAACACACTCAGCTTCATCTCATCCTTTTTAGTCATTGTCCAAGCCTCTGAGCCATATGTCAAAACAGGCCGAACAAGGGTCTTGTATATGATCAGCTTGGTCTTCTTTGAGAGGTACCTACTTCTTAAGTGTCGGCCAAGTCCAAAGACGCATCTATTGGCAGCCGTGATCCTTCTTTGTATTTCTTGAGCTATGTCATTTTTGCTATTAATTTCAGACCCAAGGTATATAAAACTTTTCACTCTCTCAAACTTAAAAGAACCTACCTCAAATCGAGAGTTCAGATCCACCTCACCACCAACTCTCATATACTTAGTTTTCCTCTCGTTGACTTCTAGACCAAGTGGTCTTGCAGCTGCTTCAAGGCCTATAAACGCTTCTCTGAGAGCCCGTTCAGACCTACCTATTATGTCAATATTTGAATTTTTATCATCCAATTAACATCTCTTTTAGGGACAAATTCTTTACATCATATCGCAATTTCAGCCATCAGTTCTTCCGTTAAATGAACCTTCAAATTTCACCTCTTTAATTTAAGTTTTCGTGAAGAAAGAGATAAGTTTTATCTAGAATTTAAAATGATTACTTGATATAAGTCCTTCCATTAAATGAAATTTTCGATAGCTCCTAGTCTAATTAGTCAGTGAACAATTGACAGTATAATATTGAAATAAATTAATGCTCAATGCAGTCAACAATAAAATGTATATTCTTTTTAGTTATTCTAAAGTTCCATTTCCTGAAATTTTGGAATGATGTAACTATGATTCATCAAAATCCATCGCTCCTAAGAGCCGGAAAAAGGATCTATATTATATATAAAGATTTTCTTATTTGTGTTTTATTATATTTCTTATGTTTTTATTTTCTTTATTATAAAATATCCTTATACTTTTTTTTGCAGGTTTACCTTCATACCTTATCACTTTATCTCAAAAATTCTTTAATTAGTAGTTTATCTGATGTGGGATTATTTATTTTTTATAGGATGACATTGGGTTGAAGGAGTGGCTCCAGTCACTAAGGTCTACCCATAAATGTTCTCTAGAGCTGCTCGGAAACATGGCTAAAAAAGCTGGCAAAATTTATGGAACCGAGCGAGACAAACAGGACAAGGTGATTACTCCCAGAACTACAAACGGTAACTGAGTTGTTATCCTCAGCTGTCATCTTATTCAGTTTACATGCTGTTGCCCTTTAGTTTTATTAATACCCGTATTATACATACGAGTTTAGTTTGTACCCACTTCCTTAGGTACAAGAATGGTTCATGAAAGTAAGCAGCAAGTGGATAAACCATCTGGGAGAGTGGGTTCTAATGCTCTCTATTAGGGAATTATTACTGTTGAACTATATTTTACCTGTCTTCTTGCGGTTGATTTGTTTTTCTTCCTTTTGTTGGCCTTCCTATACGATCTTCAAGAGCCTTGTGCATGCTCTTTCTCCATGAACAACGAAAAAAAAAATAATCATATGAACATTGATAACCAACTATTGAACAACTATTTTGTTACAAAAAAGTTAATGTAGTTTACTTAACAGTTAAAAAATGTTAGGTTCACTAACCCCTCTACCTATTTTCATGTTACTCTATGCGGAGCTAGTAACATTGTGTCTAGTCAACCAATCATCTAGTGTCTCTTTCTCTCTCTTTTTCGAACTCTCTCTCTGTCTCTCTTTAATTATTATGAATTATCTATATTTCTATCCTCCCTCGTTTGTATTATGAAGCAATTTTAAAAATGTCTTAATTTGATTATTTGAAATTTATAATTATGTCTTAACTTATCCATATTTAATATATTACTATTACTTTTAATGAATTGTTAAAGTTATCTAATTGATAAGTAAATTTTTAAAAAAGTATTTCTGCTAGTCGAATATTGTGTGTTTCATTATTGACCATTTTCCATTTTTCAAATATTATGAGTGTCAAGTACTTTTAACTTTTTTATTAATGTTTGTTTAATTTATTTTTAAAATTAAACTTTCAAAATTTTAGTTAAACAGATATAAAATAAAATATTTGTTCTACAGATGTATGAAGTTTATGTTGTGACCATAGTTTGATCAATACCCACTCAACAGTATCATAAGAGCACATTCTGGGTTTATTTTTTTATGTCTCCAAACTGAATTTTAATAATCCCCAGAAATTATTTCCTCTCTATTAGATTTCAAAGTAAATTTTTCAAAAAATCAGTATGAAATTGTAAACAAATACATAGTTTATTGAGTGGATATTTTAGATGCCTAGGAAACATAAAAGACATATTTATGTAAATAGTGTTAATATAACTTTGAAAAATTTAATTTTTTTTATCCATATTATAAAGGATCATAATTTGTGACTTTGTCTTATTAGTTAACTTACTTCATTGTTTAGTCTATTTATTTTTCACATGAAATTCTTCATAGTATCATATATAAAATTTGAAGTATATTTTAGAGATGGGGTAATTACATATATCTTAGTCAAATTAAAACAGTAATCCATGAAAATCAGTTATTTTTATGTCTATCAGTCAAAATAAGTAAAATTTGTTTCTTAGTTAATAACTAAAAGACTTTCTCATCTACTGTGCTAGTTCTCTGATGGTTAACTATGAAAAAAATTAAGTATTTGGTATATATTTTTTAGTGCCGGTTAGTTCGAAACAACATTATTGTTTCCACTAATAGTTTAAAAAGGACAGTATTACACATTTACAGCAGCAATGATAAAGCAATGATCTGTACACAGAATTAAAGCTAATAAACTTTTATTAAATTTTAAGAAAAGTATTTATTTTGTTTCTCTTTTATTTAAATTACTTTCATTTTTTATTTATCATTGTGGAAAGTAACTTATACAAATGCTGAGTGTAGGCTGAGCAATGGCCTTCAAATGTTTCCGGTTTATAGAGTCTTAAAGTGTGTATAAAAATGTTTAGGTTATCTTTCCTCATAACAAAAAAACTGAATTATGAAAACTAACGAATATAATGCAAGATTGATGAAATTAAAAAAAAATAAGTAAGATAGATTTGTTCATATCTTCTTGTTTGCTTCGAAGCAGTAATGAACATTCATGGTTTTATTGCTGATTTATGAAATAAATTATTCCATGCATGACCAATTATAATAGAGATAAGTAATGTGAACAGTTTACTGACAGTTTAATTGTATTGTTTGAAAAACATAATTTGATGATGTAGAATAGGGAAATGATGGTTTACACCATTTAAGCTACATCCACTCAATTGAGACAGTTTTGTGGAAATCTTTCGTTCTACGTATTAAACTCTAAAAGTTTTCCTGAATCAAACAAAACAAATATTTCTTAATATTATAGAGGAATCCATGTCTAAAAGAAAATTAATAAACTATGACCTTGTACATTGCTTTAGCTGTAATCCAATATGAAAGGTTTAGTAACATAAATTCTTTTGGAAATACATCTCTTGTGAAATTAGTGATTATCACAATAAAAAAAATATATTTATAAGAAGACATGTCTTAGACAATATGTATGACCTGATTGTATGACAAATCAGCATGTAGTCAATCGTTGAAGCAGAACTAATCATAAAATTGTAAGATTAAAAAAGATATTGGTGAAACTGAACGTGAAAACAATTGTTACAATTTTTTTTATAACCATTATTTTTTTCTGATTCTAATAGAATTTTGGTACAAAGAGTATTTAAAATATCGTTTTTAAACACTTATTATTTCGGTAAAGCGTTTTTTGATTACCTTGATTTTGTTTCCTCGTATTATTTATTTATTTTTTTAAGTTATTGTATCTTTATCAATTATATGTTGCACACCTTTTTTAGAGTTTAGAGACAAAAAAAGTGGTTACTCTTCATCCTCGGTTCTGCTATCAATCAACTATTTATTAATTATTTAATAGTCTGTTACAATAAATAACTCTGGTCTTATGAAACAAAATGTCCACTAAACCAAAATGCAGCATTTCAAATTGTATTAATTTTTTTTATAATACAAATTAGAAGTTCCTTCTATTTTCTATGTTATAATGTCCTTGACTTCCTTCTAGCATGTAAATCTCCTCCATCCTGGGCTGGTTGGAGATGTTTCCTCTCCTTGGATTTATTATAGTTTGCATTCAATGTGACTTTGTCCAAATAAGGTTTTGGATAACTTCTTGTGGAATATTGTTTTACCGGAATTTCCATTGAGTCTCACAGTCTATTGTTTCTCTTTTATATTCGTTCATGTTTACAATTCATCTGATTTTGGTTAAATAGCTTTACATTCTAAACAATATTTCAAAGGATTTTCAAGTTATGGGAAAAGGGTGGACCTTTTTTTTTTTTTTTGCTTTAGTGTATATTTAGAATGATAAATTTTATTTTTATCTTATAATTCACTTAATTACTCTATTATTGGTTTTGTTTTTTCTTAGTAATGCAGAATGATAATTGTTTTTAAAATTTACTTGTTAGCTCATTTATTCTTAAATTTTTAACTTGATTTATTTTATTTAATACCACTTCAGAAATTAATTACTTATGTTATTAATTTAGTTCTAACAATCATCGAATAATCAATTAATCATTATTATAGTATTGTTAGCTTATTTCTCAAATCACATTTTTCTAGGATCAATTAAATGTATTCCTCAAAAGCTTAAATATACTATTTTAACGCAAACAATTAATTGGTGAATTAAATGCTCAATACGAGTAGTCAATTAATTTTTTTTTTCAATAATATATTGTTTGAAGTATCGAACATTGAATTTAATCCACATGGCCTAACTTTTAAAATATATCTTAACTGCTGATAATAATATGGAATTACTGTGCCAATATTTTCTCATGGTCAAAGAATTTTTGCTCCAATTTCCATAATCGCTATGATCAATTTAACGTAAGCTCCTTTTTTTTTAAATGCATTATTTATTACTTTTACTTTGATCAACAGAGGTAGAAGTGGGTCAGTATAGGAAAATCTTCTGAAAGTTGACTCACCTTCCATATAAAATTTCTATTATTAAGGTTTATCTGTAATTGTTGAGCTATTAGGCGTATCCTCAGTGTTACTCTTTCTTACAGTTTTATAAATCTCATTTTTATCCATTAAAAAAGTCTTTTATTGTAATTTTGGTTGTTTACGAATTAGTTTAATGCCTTGTCGTAATAGGAATGTCTAAATAAAAGTAATTTTATGATCCGAGAGGTAAAACAATTAACAAATTTACAAGCTACAGGGGGATGATGCTCTTTATTGCTTCTAATAGAACAAATTCTTATTTACATCTATCTTGCATTGTTGACAATGGTTATATAGTCAAATTTGTACATTTATGTGTCCGCAACTTCTATTATAACTATACAGGAAAGGGGAGTTCTTTTATAATTTCTAGGTATCTGTTTTGAAGGATTACTGTAATTACTTTCCAAAAAAAAAAAAATTAACTGTTGACTATATCTAAATCTGACTAAACACATGTTATGTCCAAAGGGAACTGTATTGGATTTGAGATAGGGCCCCTCTGATGATAATTTGAACACAGTTTTATTGATTTTAAAAATGGCAGTTGGCACCTGAGTTATTGGAAAAAATAAGTTTTATTTTGTATCGATCTTAATTGGAAATAGGGTGTTGGACATATCTGTATCTGCATCAATTACAATTCTTGCCTAGAATTTGTCATATGTATTGTTTTTAGACTTATTTTTTATTAAGGATTTGAAAAAAAAAACTTCTAGTCAATTCTCAATAATCTATGGCTATTATTGAAATGTACAGCTGAACCTCTTTATCGAAGTTTAAGGTTGCTGTAATCTAATTCAAAATTTGATGATATATTTTTTGAGTTGTTTAATCAATTGCTGATTTTATATAATATGTAAAATGTGATTATAAACATATGGTTATAAAATGTGGTCTTACATATTCAATGAAGACATTTTCTATTACCATACATAGGTAGGATATCATGTTATTTATGTTATACTCAGATAAAAATTAATGTGTCTTAATTTCTCTTATTTTGGACCAAAATAGGTTCTGTTTTGTTTTTTGTTTTTCTTTTTTTGCTCTGTACTCATATTGAGTTGTTCCATTCCTATTAAAACCTCTTTAAGAACGTTAGAAATAATTATCAAGCTTTGTTCAACAGTTTAAAATGCTGG